CCAGCGGTGTCAAGTTCGGCCTCTGTGGAGGAGGTCCGTGAAGGACGCCGCTGGGCAGTTGGAGGCAGTCGCCCTCCAGCAACAACAGAGGGCGGAGGAGCGACGCTCACAACAACGGGCAGAGTGCCGGGCGGCTAAAACACAGCAAGTTGCCACAGTAGGGGGGTACAGCTGGTCATCTCAGTCGGTCAACCCATGGCACCTAGGTCTGTTCCTTGACCTCCTGCCAGCAGGCATTCGACACTTCACATGGCCTCAGAGCGCACCAAGCATGGCACAAGCACCGTGGTGACGTCACCGCCACTTTGTGGTGGTTGTGGTGATAGTCTGTGCAAGTCTAATGGGTCTCTATATGGGTCGTTGGTTTCCAGGGGCTGAGACCACCAACCGCACTCCACTTGAGAAACAGGTTTAAGCACTGATCAGTAAGATCCTTTTTTAAAATCCTTTATATTAAGTTCGCTTGCTTGCTTGCGTGCTTGCTTGCTTACGACCGTGCAAATCTTTCGGTCGTTTTTTAACCCACTTCCCGTGATCCAATCGAGCTGACATTTTCCACACAGACTCGTTGTGCCAGACAATTAATGTTCGTGAAAAATTACCAAAATGTAATACTTTTTAGGCAAAAAAAATTTATTTTACATATATTCAAATAGAACTCATTCATCACTTTGGCTGAACGTCACAGTGTAAGAGCCCAGAGCGTAACCCCTCCACAGACCGTGGCGGAGTAGCGCAGTTGGTAGCGCCCTCGCTTCCCATGCCAAAGGTCGCGGGATCGATCCCCGCGTCCTCCACAGGCATATATATTTTTTAAATCCTTTATATTAAGTTCGCTGCCACGCATATAAAGGATTTATAGTGAAAAACTTTGTTTTTACGGGTTATACTTATTTTAAATCCTTTATATTAAGTTCACTTGCTTGCTTGCTTGCGCGCTTACGACCGTGCAAATCTTTCGGTCGTTTTTTAACCCACTTCCCGTGATCCAATCGAGCTGACATTTTGCACACAGACTCGTTGTGCGTGACAATTACTTTTCGTGAAATTTTTTTTCCAAATGTGTACACTTTTTAGGAAATTTTTTTTAAATATTTAATTACCAATTGCTTAATGGTGGCAGGCAATCATCTGACCCATAGGTGGCAGCCATCTCAAGCCAGAGGACGGGAGGACTCTAGCCGCCACGCATATAAATGATTTATAGTGAAAAACTTTGTTTTTACGGGTTAATTTTTGTTCCTTCATTGACACGCGGCCTTAAAATGATGCCTGCAATGCGATACGAACTGTGTTTGTGTTCTTGTCGACTCTGTGTCTAGGGGGGTGGGACACCCCCAGGGGCCCCCCGCGCCCACCACCCCCCCCCCCCACAGCGACATCTGCCCGGGCCTCCCATTGAGCCCACAATCCCTCCCGCGACTCCCTTTGTGTGTGTGTGTCAAAACAACCAGCGGTCGTTGCGTCCCTTTATTCTGTAGCACCGCGAGAGAAACGAGGGCACCGCGGTGCCTGGGGGCATCCGTCCGTTGGGGAGAAGGCCGGAGCCGGGCCAACTCCACGGGGTGACCCCCATGAGTCTGGAATCATGGGGGGGTGGGTGTGGAACAACTAATTCGTATTTTGTTTTGTTTCTAGAGGCCCAAATGTGTCTCCGAGTACGGAAGGACCGAGTCCAAATAATCCTACTCGTTGGAAATTTGGGGTCAGAGGGAGGTCGCTGTTGAATGTAACAACGGGCTGCATGCGGATGACACGCAGCTGTGTTTTTCCGATGATTCCATAGACTCAACACTGCCCATAGACTCAACACTGCCCATAGACACAACACTGCCCATAGACTCAACACTGCCCATAGACTCAACACTACCCATAGACTCAACACTACCCATAGACTCAACACTGCCCATAGACTCAACACTGCCCATAGACTCAACACTACCCATAGACTCAACACTGCCCATAGACTCAACACTACCCATAGACTCAACACTGCCCATAGACACAACACTACCCATAGACTCAACACTGCCCATAGACTCAACACTGCCCATAGACTCAACACTGCCCATAGACTCAACACTGCCCATAGACTCAACACTGCCCATAGACTCAACACTACCCATAGACTCAACACTGCCCATAGACTCAACACTACCCATAGACTCAACACTGCCCATAGACTCAACACTGCCCATAGACTCAACACTACCCATAGACTCAACACTGCCCATAGACTCAACACTGCCCATAGACTCAACACTACCCATAGACTCAACACTGCCCATAGACTCAACACTACCCATAGACTCAACACTACCCATAGACTCAACACTACCCATAGACTCAACACTGCCCATAGACTCAACACTGCCCATAGACTCAACACTGCCCATAGACTCAACACTACCCATAGACTCAACACTGCCCATAGACTCAACACTGCCCATAGACTCAACACTGCCCATAGACTCAACACTACCCATAGACTCAACACTGCCCATAGACTCAACACTACCCATAGACTCAAACACTACCCATAGACTCAACACTACCCATAGACTCAACACTGCCCATAGACTCACACTGCCCATAGACTCAACACTGCCCATAGACTCAACACTGCCCATAGACTCAACACTGCCCATAGACTCAACACTGCCCATAGACTCAACACTCACCCTAGACTCAACACTGCCCATAGACTCAACACTACCCATAGACTCAACACTACCCATAGACTCAACACTGCCCATAGACTCAACACTACCCATAGACTCAACACTGCCCATAGACTCAACACTACCCATAGACTCAACACTGCCCATAGACTCAACACTACCCATAGACTCAACACTGCCCATAGACTCACACTACCCATAGACTCAACACTGCCCATAGACTCAACACTACCCATAGACTCAACACTGCCCATAGACTCAACACTACCCATAGACTCAACACTACCCATAGACTCACACTACCCATAGACTCAACACTGCCCATAGACTCAACACTACCCATAGACTCAACACTGCCCATAGACTCAACACTACCCATAGACTCAACACTGCCCATAGACTCAACACTACCCATAGACTCAAACACTACCCATAGACTCAACACTAGCCCATAGACTCAACACTACCCATAGACTCAACACTACCATAGACTCAACACTGCCCATAGACTCAACACTACCCATAGACCTCAACACTACCCATAGACTCAACACTGCCCATAGGACTCAACACTAGCCCATAGACTCAACACTGCCCATAGACTCAACACTACCCATAGACTCAACACTACCCATAGACTCAACACTGCCCATAGACTCAACACTACCCATAGACTCAACACTACCCATAGACTCAACACTGCCATAGACCTCAACACTGCTCATAGACTCAACACTGCCCATAGACTCAACACTACCCATAGACTCAACACTGCCCATAGACTCAACACTACCCATAGACTCAACACTACCCATAGACTCAACACTACCCATAGACTCAACACTGCCCATAGACTCAACACTGCCCATAGACTCAACACTGCCCATAGACTCAACACTACCCATAGACTCAACACTGCCCATAGACTCAACACTGCCCATAGACTCACATGCCCATAGACTCAACACTACCCATAGACTCAACACTACCCATAGACCTCAACACTGCCCATAGACTCAACACTGCCCATAGACTCAACATTGCCCATAGACTCAACACTACCCATAGACTCAACACTGCACATAGACTCAACACTGCCCATAGACTCAACACTGCCCATAGACTCAACATTGCCCATAGACTCAACACTACCCATAGACTCAACACTACCCATAGACCAATCATAGACTCAACACTGCCCATAGACTCAACACTGCCCATAGACTCAACACTGCCCATAGACTCAACACTGCCATAGACTCAACACTGCCCATAGACTCAACACTGCCCATAGACTCAACACTGCCCATAGACTCAACACTGCCCATAGACTCAACACTGCCCATAGACTCAACACTGCCCATAGACTCAACACTGCCCATAGACTCAACACTGCCCATAGACTCAACACTGCCCATAGACTCAACACTGCCCATAGACTCAACACTGCCCATAGACTCAACACTGCCCATAGACTCAACACTGCCCATAGACTCAACACTGCCCATAGACTCAACACTACCCATAGACTCAACACTGCCCATAGACTCAACACTGCCCATAGACTCAACACTACCCATAGACTCAACACTGCCCATAGACTCAACACTGCCCATAGACTCAACACTGCCCATAGACTCAACACTGCCCATAGACTCAACACTGCCCATAGACTCAACACTGCCCATAGACTCAACACTGCCCATAGACTCAACACTGCCCATAGACTCAACACTGCCCATAGACTCAACACTACCCATAGACTCAATACTACCCATAGACTCAACACTGCCCATAGACTCAACACTACCCATAGACTCAACACTGCCCATAGACTCAACACTGCCCATAGACTTAACACTACCCATAGACTCAACACTGCCCATAGACTCAACACTGCCCATAGACTCAACACTGCCCATAGACTCAACACTGCCCATAGACTCAACACTACCCATAGACTCACACTGCACCTCCGATTAGCACGTTTGGCTACGTACTGTGCGAAAGAAGTTGAACACACATACATTCTACGATACACCACTATACACCACACTGGGATGCAGTACATAATTCACTACACTTACGTACGCCTCGAAGCTAGCTCTGTGGTATCCTCTTCCGCGGGCCGTCGCCTTGACAGCGTCGCCTTGGCAACGTGAAAGGTCGCGGCAACTGCTCTCTGCTCTGCGAGATCTCCGAATGCGATCGCAGTCGGGGGGTGGGATACGGAAAAATAGATAAATAAAGTTGAACGAACGCGTTGTTGTTGTTGTTGTTGTTGTCGGTGATTGTTGTTGTTGTTGTTGCGTGCGTCAGGTGCCGGCGCTGTGAGCCCATGACGGCGGGAGGCCCGGCCCTGAGCTATGGACATGGCGGTCGGGAACAGAAGCCACAATGCGTCCTCTTGCGCTCAGGCACCTGAGGTGGGTGATGGTGGCGGTGGTTGTGGTGATCTGATGGTGATGGTGGTGATGTCATGACGGTGGTGGTGATGTCATGGTGGTGGTCGTGGTAATGTAATGATGGTGACAGTGGTGACAGTGGTGGTGACGGTAGTGGTGGTGGTAGCGTTGTAGCTACACTCACTGCTCGGAATCGTCGTCAACATCATGATCAGATCAGTTTAACACGGAGCAGGCTTTCGCGACCAATGTTATTCATAATCAACGTTTTTGGGTTTAGATCGCGTTATTTATAAATGTGTCGTAACCCTCCACCACCCGACACGGCCAATCAGTAAAAAAGTGTCACGTTGACAAAAGACAAAATAGTTCACTGCTTTAGCCCACCGATGTGTGCAATTACCAGCGAAACGTCGTACTCAAATTGTAAATGTTGTGGTTTCATGCTTCAACACACCGGTGGGCTAAAGCAGTGAACTATTTGTCTTTTGTCAACGTGACACTTTTTTACTGATTGGCCGTGTCGGGTGGTGGAGGGTTACGACACATTCATAAATAACGCGATCTAAACCCAAAAACGTTGATTATGAATAATCATGATCAGATGTTAACTACCTCGCCTGGTATGCAGAAGGTCGTGGGTTCAATCCCGACCCTGACGACGCCTGCTGTATATTTGGAGTTTGCGTGTCTCTCTCTCTCTCATCATCATCACGGTGGCTAGGAGATGTTAACTACCTCGCCTGGTGTGCAGGAGGTCGTGGGTTCGATTCCGACCCTGACGACGCCTGCCGCTATATTTGGAGTTTGCGTGTCTCTCTCTCTCTCATCATCATCACGGTGGCGAGGAGATGTTAACTATCCCGCCTGGTATGCAGGAGGTCGTGGATTCGATCCCAACCCTGATGACGCCTGCTGTATATTTGGAGTTTTGAGTGTCTCTCTCTCTCATCATCATCGTCGTCGTGGTGGCGAGGAGATGTTAACTACCCCGCCTAGTATGCAGGAGGTCGTGGGTTCGATCCCGACCCTGACAACGCCTGCCGCTGTATTTGGAGTTTGCGTGTCTCTCTCTCATCATCATCACGGTGGCGAGGAGATGTTAACTATCCCGCCTGGTATGCAGGAGGTCGTGGATTCGATCCCAACCCTGATGACGCCTGCTGTATATTTGGAGTTTTGAGTGTCTCTCTCTCTCTCATCATCATCATCGTGGTGGCGAGGAGATGTTAACTACCCCTTCTGGTATGCAGGAGGTCGTGGGTTCGATCCCGACCCTGACGATGTCTCTCTCCCCCGTGGTCACATGTATTTTTCTCCGGGTCCTCTGCTTTTTCTGAAATCGACGTCACGCGTTCAGAGTATTTGGGCTGCTATGAATTTCCACCTAATGGTGACAAGCCACACTTCGTGGCCAGAGTCGCTTCTGAAAACGAGGGACACGGTTCAGTGGTGTGGTGGCCTTACCGGATAAAAAAAAAACATAAAGCTTTCGTTTATTTATTTTTTGTCGTCACTGTCATCGTCATCGTCATCGTCCTCTCTCTCTCTCTCTCTGTCTCCCGCCCGCCCCCCTGGCAGTCGACCAGCAGCACGGAGTCAATGTCGGAGAAGCCGTCGGCCGCCTCGCAGATGTCGAAGAGCTACGACGCGGTGGTGTTCGACGTGCTCAAGGTCACGCCCGAGGAGTTCGCGGTGAGGACCCACCTCCACTCGCAAACGCGCTCTCGTCACGTGGAAACTCCACGTTCCCTCACGTCGGGGACCGATCCGTCCGTACAGAGGACCGGTTCCCCAAGGAGGGATTCGATCCGTCCGTACGGAGGACCGGTTCTCTATAGAGGGATTCGAGTCCGTCCGTACGGAGGACCGGTTCCCCAAGGAGGGATTCGAGTCCGTCCGTACGGAGGACCGGTTCCCGAGGAGGGAATCGATCCGTCCGTACGGAGGACCGGTTCTCTATAGAGGGATTCGAGTCCGTCCGTACGGAGGACCGGTTCCCCATAGAGGGAATCGATCCGTCCGTACGGAGGACCGGTTCCCGAGGAGGGAATCGATCTGTCCGTACGGAGGACCGGTTCTCTATAGAGGGATTCGAGTCCGTCTGTACGGAGGACCGGTTCTCCATAGAGGGATTCGAGTCCGTCCGTACGGAGGACCGGTTCTCCATAGAGGGATTCGAGTCCGTCCGTACGGAGGACCAGTTCCCGAGGAGGGAATCGATCCGTCCGTACGGAGGACCGGTTCTCTATAGAGGGATTCGAGTCCGTCTGTACGGAGGACCGGTTCCCCATAGAGGGAATCGATCCGTCCGTACGGAGGACCGGTTCCCGAGGAGGGAATCGAGTCCGTCCGTACGGAGGACCGGTTCCCCATAGAGGGAACCGAGTCCGTCCGTACGGAGGACTGGTTCCCGAGGAGGGAATCGAGTCCGTCCGTACGGAGGACTGGTTCCCAAGGAGGGAATCGAGTCCGTCCGTACGGAGGACCGGTTCCCCATAGAGGGAACCGAGTCCGTCCGTACGGAGGACTGGTTCCCGAGGAGGAAACCGAGTCCGTCCGTACGGAGGACTGGTTCCCGAGGAGGGAACCGAGTCCGTCCGTACGGAGGATCGGTTCCCCATAGAGGGAATCGAGTCCGTCCGTACGGAGGACTGGTTCCCCATAGAGGGAACCGAGTCCGTCCGTACGGAGGACCGGTTCCCCATAGAGGGAACCGAGTCCGTCCGTACGGAGGACTGGTTCCCGAGGAGGGAATCGAGTCCGTCCGTACGGAGGACTGGTTCCCAAGGAGGGAATCGAGTCCGTCCGTACGGAGGACCGGTTCCCCATAGAGGGAACCGAGTCCGTCCGTACGGAGGACCGGTTCCCCATAGAGAGAACCGAGTCCGTCCGTACGGAGGACTGGTTCCCGAGGAGGGAACCGAGTCCGTCCGTACGGAGGACCGGTTCCCCATAGAGGGAATCGATCCGTCCGTACGGAGGACCGGTTCCCGAGGAGGTAATCGAGTCCGTCCGTACGGAGGACCGGTTCCCCATAGAGAGAATCGATCCGTCCGTACGGAGGACCGGTTCCCCATAGAGAGAATCGATCCGTCCGTACGGAGGACCGGTTCCCGAGGAGGGAATCGATCCGTCCGTACGGAGGACCGGTTCCCCATAGAGGGAATCGATCCGTCCGTACGGAGGACCGGTTCCCGAGGAGGGAATCGATCCGTCCGTACGGAGGACCGGTTCCCCATAGAGGGAATCGATCCGTCCGTACGGAGGACCGGTTCCCCATAGAGGGAATCGATCCGTCCGTACGGAGGACCGGTTCCCGAGGAGGGAATCGATCCGTCCGTACGGAGGACCGGTTCCCCATAGAGGGAATCGATCCGTCCGTACGGAGGACCGGTTCCCCATAGAGGGAATCGAGTTCGTCCGTACGGAGGACCGGTTCCCCATAGAGAGAATCGATCCGTCCGTACGGAGGACCGGTTCCCCATAGAGGGAATCGAGTTCGTCCGTACGGAGGACCGGTTCCCCATAGAGGGAATCGATCCGTCCGTACGGAGGACCGGTTCCCGAGGAGGGAATCGATCCGTCCGTACGGAGGACCGGTTCCCCATAGAGGGAATCGATCCGTCCGTACGGAGGACCGGTTCCCGAGGAGGGAATCGATCCGTCCGTACGGAGGACCGGTTCCCCATAGAGGGAATCGATCCGTCCGTACGGAGGACCGGTTCCCGAGGAGGGAATCGATCCGTCCGTACGGAGGACCGGTTCCCGAGGAGGGAATCGAGTGCACTGCAACAATGGGAACGGCGAATGAAAGCGATATTTTCTGGATGTGCAAGCAGCCCAGCGCGCACCGATTGTTTCCGACAAGACCGTTATGTAAGCATCCCCCTCTTCTTCGGTTATTTTAATAAATTTTTATTTTCCAACAGCCTCCTGAAGCAGTGGCCAGGAAAATCCGCGTAATCTCTCTCCGAGCGACAGAGCGAACGTCGGAGCCAAAACATTTCGCGTTGCCCGCGGCCACGTGACTTTACCGTCGCGATCAAAGACAAAGATCCCTCCGTGTAGCCTGTTACAGACTTGGCTTTTATTATTTTACATTTTTTTTCTCCGTTTTTTATTATGAAAATGTTATTTTAGTATTTATATTTTATATTAAATTTTTCACATTTTTTTTTTCTATTTACGTGACTTTCCCGAAAGAAACTAGAATCTGTAACAGACTGTAGGGGCAAGTGCTGTTAGCGAGCAGCACCTACGAAGGCCGGCACGGCACACGAGCGGGTGGGTTTCCAGCACCACGCCCGTCCGCCTTCGTCTCCCCGGAGGCGATGTTTACACACCGCACCAGGTGCTAATTTGAGGCCGAGTCGACCTAGCGGAGGCCCAGGACCGCTTCGGATAATCGTCACGGGCGTTGGACTTTAGCAGGAATCGATCCCGGCTCGCCGGGGTCACGAACCCGCACACTCGCTCACACCGTGCAGAACGGCGGGGGGTGGGGGTGGGAGGCCATACCAACTCTCCACGCAGAAAATCGCCCGAGTCGGGAGTCGAACCCAGGTCTCTCTTGCCGTGAGGCGCCACAGCCAGTTGCCTATTGAGCCACCCTCCAGCCTGCACGGCTGTGTGTGCCCCCTGTCTGGAACAATGGTTCTCCAAATGCTTTGGGGTGGGTGGTGGGGGGGGTTTAATCTTGGTTGTTTTTCGTTACGCTTGCACACAGAGTCAGATAACGTTGATGGATTGCCCGGTCTTCAAAGCCATTCAACCAGAGGTAAGCTCCTTCACAATGGCAATGATAAGGATCTGGAAGAACAACAAGCCGGCCGGCTAGCCTGGCTGGCGCAAGACACGAGGACTCTGTCTTGTTTGGGGATAGGATCGTGAGAGTAAAAATGTGGTCGCGTAAAACAAAGAAAGATGGTTCTAGAATTGAAGCTTTCGTGACTGCAGGGATTCATCTTCTTGGTTCTTTCGGTAAAGTCACGTAGAAGGGAGATAATAAAATAATAAAAATAAAACATTATATAATTCTCACGGCTGCTTGCGTTGTGGCCGAGAATTATTTTATGATGTTTTATTTTAATTATTTTATTATTTCCCTTCTACGTGACTTTACCCAAGGAAAGAAACAAGAAGATAGTTCTAGATTTGAAGCTTTCGTGACTGCAAGGATTCATACTCTTAGGCTTTTTCGGTAAAGTCACGTAGGTAAAAAATAAAAATAATAGAAATGTAATAATAGAATTAAAATAAAAAATCACGACGTTTCGGAGGCAACACAAGTCTGCGTCATCTGTTGGGACCGTCACAGCCAGATTTACTGTATCAAGTGAGGCAAAAAATGTGTTCGTAGCGCAACGTAGCGCTAACCGCTGCACCACCGCTCCACACAATCACCACAGACACATACGAAAGAGTCAGATTATACACATATACACTGACATTGTTACTGATAAGAAGAGACAACACCAATGACAATGGAGATGAGGATGAGTATGATGATAATGTTTAAAATGATGATGGTGTTGATATGAAGGTGATTATGGGGAGGGATGATGATGATATTTAAGATTATGATTAAATTTGTTTATAATTTAAAAAATAACGTTTTGCCTCACCCGATACAGCAAATCTGGCTGTGACGGTCCCACCTGATGACAGAGACTTGCGTTGCCTCCGAAACGTCGTGATTTGTTATTTTATTTCTATTATTACTTCTAGAACTTTTATTTTTTGCCTTCGTGACTTTACCGAAAAAGCCTAAGAGTAAAGGAAGCTAGCCCTGTAGCCTTAACAGACCGCTGGGGCAAGTGCTGTTAGCGAGCACCTGTGATCGGCACTGTGGCACACGAGGGGGTGGGTGGCCAGCACCACGCCAGGCCGCCTTTGTCTCCCCAGTGGCGATGTTTTTCTGTCTCCACTCGTGCTGCGTGCGTGACGTTGTCATCATCAGTGTGGTTAGGTTATATATGTGAACCGTGCTGGTCGCTTGCCGTTATCATTGTTAATAGTGTTGCGTCCTTGATGTTATCATCGTCGTCGTCGTTACATTATAATTGTAAATGGTGTTGCGTTCTTGACGTTATCGTCGTCACGTTATAATTGTGAACCGTGTTGCGTTCTTGACGTTATCATCGTCATCGTCGTCACGTTATAATTGTGAACCGTGTTGCGTGCTTGACGTTATCGTCGTCATCGTCGTCACGTTATAATTGTGAACCGTGTTGCGTGCGTGACGTTATCGTCGTCACGTTATAATTGTGAATCGTGTTGCGTTCTTGACGTTATGGTCGTCACGTTATAATTGTGAACCGTGTTGCGTGCGTGACGCCGGCAGGAGCTGTCGAGCTGCGGGTGGAACAGGAAAGAGAAGCACAGCCTCGCACCCAACGTCGTCGCCTTCACTCGCAGATTCAACCACGTACGCGCTTCCCCTCCGGATCAGCGGGGTTCCATCGCGATCGCTCGCTCGCTCACGTGCCTAGCTCGCTTTAGCCGATCAACGCATCGCTCGCTCGCGCGCTCGCTCGCTCGCTTGCTCACGCGCCTAGCTCGCTTTAGCTGCCCAACACATCGCTCACTCAATCGCTCGCTCGCCCGCTCACACGCTTAGCTCGCTTTAGCCGACCAACGCATCGCTCACTCAGTCGCTCACACGCTCGCTCGCTCAATCGCTCACGCGCTTAGCTCGCTTTAGCCGCCCAACACATCGCTCGCTCAATCGCTCACACGCTCGCTCGCTCGCCCGCTCACACGCTTAGCTCGCTTTAGCTGCCCAACAAATCGCTCGCTCAATCGCTCACACGCTCGCTCCCGCGCGATCGCTCACTCGCTCACGCGCCTAGCTCGCTTTAGTTGCCCAACGCATCGCTCGCTCAATCGCTCACACGCTCGCTCGCTCGCTCGCCCGCTCGCCCGCTCACACGCTTAGCTCGCTTTAGCTGCCCAACACATCGCTCGCTCAATCGCTCACACGCTCGCTCCCGCGCGATCGCCCGCGCGTTTGCTTTGCTCACTGTCGTACCGATTCGCCATCTCGCTCAATCGGCGCTCGCCCGCTTATCAACTCGTACGTTCACTCGCTTATCCACTCAACACCTCGCTGGCTCACTCACTCGCTCTCCTGCTCACTCGCTCACTGATGCTCCACCTCGCTCGGCCATTCTGTTGTTTTGGTTCTTTTTAAATCCTTTATATTAAGTTCGCTTGCTTGCGTGCTTGCTTGCTTGCTTAGGACCGTGCAAATCTTTCGGTCGTTTTTTAACTCACTTCCCGTGATCCAATCGAGCTGACATTTTCCACACAGACTCGTTATGCCAGACAATTAATGTTCGTGAAAAAAAATTCCCAAAATTTTACACTTTTTAGGCAAAAAAAAATATTTTACATATATTCAAATAGAACTCATTCTTGGCTTTGGCTGAACGTCACAGTATAAGAGCCCAGAGCGTAACCCCTCCACAGGCCGTGGCGGAGTAGCGCAGTTGGTAGCGCCCTCGCTTCCCATGCCAAAGGTCGCGGGATCGATCCCCGCGTCCTCCACAGGCGAATATATTTTTAAATCCTTTATATTAAGTTCGCTGCCACGCATATAAAGGATTTATAGTGAAAAACTTTGTTTTTACGGATTATACTTATTTGTATTCCGCATCGCTGCACTTTGTTCTATTTTGTTTCACTTTTTGTCGTTTTGGTGGCCCAGGTGACGCTTGCAAAACGAGACTCTCCCCATAGCGGGTTCCCTTTTGAGTTTTCACCTTGTCACACACAACAGCAACTCGGAACGTGAACTGACCCACTCGCTCACCCCGGCACCTACCCACTCACCCATTCACTCACCCATCCACTCACTCGATCACTCATTCCTTCACCCGCTCCCTCATTCACCCGTTCGCTCGGTCAATCTCCCACTCATTCACCCGTTCACTCGGTCAATCACCCACTCACTCATTCATCTCTCTTTCAAGTGAGACTCCTATCCTGGTCTCTTTGAGTTCTCACTGCTGGTTACAAAAAAAACCGCACCACTCCCTTATTCACCCACTCATTCATTCACTCAATCACCCACTCATTCATTCACTCAATCACCCACTCATTCACCCACTCATTCATTTACTCAATCACCCACTCATTCACCCACTCATTCACCCACTCATTCATCCACTCATTCAGTCACTCAATCACCCACTCATTCACCCACTCAATCATTCACTCAATCACCCACTCATTCACCCACTCATTCACCCACTCATTCATCCACTCATTCAGTCACTCAATCATCCACTCAATCACCCACTCAATGATTCACTCAATCATCCATTCATTCATCCACTCATTCAGTCACTCATTCACCCACTCATTCACCCACTTATTAATTCACTCATTCACCCACTCATTCACCCACTCATTCGACCCACTCATTTACCCACTCATTCACCCACTCATTCACCCACTCATTCGACCCACTCATTCACCCACTCATTTACCCACTCGTTTACCCACTCGTTCACCCACTCGTTCACCCACTCGTTCACCCACTCGTTCACCCACTCGTTCACCCACTCGTTCACCCACTCGTTCACCCACTCATTCACCCACTCATTAACCCACTCATTCACCCACTCAATCGACCCACTCATTCACCCACTCATTCACCCACTCATTCACCCAGGTCACTATAAAGTGAGACTCCTCTCAAACCATCCGGGGTGGGTTTGTCGCTCCGTGTGTTATGCAGGTGAGCTTCTGGGTGGTGCGTGAAATCTTGAAGGCTCGCACTCTCAAGATCCGGGCGGAAATCTTATGCCATTTCATCAAAATCGCCAAGGTGGGACGTTTAACGAAAATATATTTTTGTTTTACCAGGTCAGGCCCCACTGAGCTGCTTTGTAATAGCTCTTTTTGCAGGAGCAACCTGGCAATCACAAATGATAGGTACACAGTCAGAGAGAGAAAAAAAACCCAGAGAGAGAGAAAGATAAACTTGGAACTTCCCCGTAGAAGTGGTTCAATCTTGAATTTGGAGCTTTCGTGACGGCAGGAATTACTCTTTGGTTCTTTCGGTAAAGTCACGTATAGAGAGAAAATAATAAATTAAATACTAGCATACGACGTTTCGATTGCAACACAAGCAATCATCATCAGGTACAAATGAAATAGAAACACAAATCTAGTATACTTAGAAATGTAATGTAATACAACAGAGAGTAGGATAATATAACAGTCAACACCCTACCTGGTTGATTACGTTCTTCCTGAGAATGCTACATTTGAGAGAGAGATAAAGCACAGAACCAGAGACATATAGACAGACATATAAGCAGACAGATATCACAGAGATACATAGAGAGAGACACAAACATAGACACACAGAGAAAGCCACGTCTCTGTGTCGAGGCCTTATACCTGATGATGATTGCTTGTGTTGCAATCGAAACGTCGTATGCTAGTATTTAATTTATTATTTTATCTTTATACGTGACTTTACCGAAAGAACCAAAGAGTAATTCCTGCAGTCACGAAAGCTCCAAATATAGGTGAACGAAGTGGCCGAACATCGTGTGGACATTTGTAGGAAATTTTTTTCCATTTCATCAAAATCGCCAAGATGGGTGGTCTGACTCACGAAAGCAAAATCTTTGTACGTGTCGATCTTTTTCAGATGATGTTGATGTTGCTGTGATGGATGTTGGTGATGTTGATGATGTTGAATGTTGTTGATGATGTTGAGGATCATGTTGTTGTGATTGATAATGTTGTTGTTGATGATGTTGGTGGGGTTGATGTTGTTGATGATGATAATGTTGTGGTTGGTTTTGTTGATGTGGTTGATGGTGTTGGTAATGCTGATGTTGTTGTGGTTGATGTTGTTGATAATGTTGATGTTGGGGTTGTTGATGATGTGGTTGATGGTGGTGATAATGTTGATGTTGTTGGGGTTGATGTTGGGGTTGATGTTGATCATGTTGATGTTGTTGGGGGTCACGTTGTTGATGTTGTGTTTGATGTTGATGATGTTGATAATGTTGATGTTGTTGGGGTTGATGTGCTTGATCTGGTTGTCAATGTTTCGTGTTTTTGTTGACGTTGATAATATCGCAGATGCGTTCGATGTTGTTAACATCATTGTCATTTATACACATTCGTTAATCCCCCCCTGAACCCCGCTTTGCTCAAGAAGTGCTCACAAGTGACATCACCACATCTCTACCCCTCTATTCAGGAGGATTTCTCCCAGAGGTGTGGACTCGAGTCATGTGACTTGGACTCGAGTCAGACTCGAGTCATGAATTTGATGACTTCAGACTCGACTTGGACTTGCATAACAATGACTTTGTCCCACCTCTGAGGTGTGGACTCGAGTCATGTGACTTGGACTCGAGTCAGACTCGAGTCATGTATTTGATGACTTCAGACTCGACTTGGACTTGCATAACAATGACTTTGTCCCACCTCTGAGGTGTGGACTCGAGTCATGTGACTTGGACTCGAGTCAGACTCGAGTCATGAATTTGATGACTTTGTCCCACCTCTGAGGTGTGGACTCGAGTCATGTGACTTGGACTCGAGTCAGACTCGAGTCATGTATTTGATGACTTCAGACTCGACTTGGACTTGCATAACAATGACTTTGTCCCACCTCTGAGGTGTGGACTCGAGTCATGTGACTTGGACTCGAGTCAGACTCGAGTCATGAATTTGATGACTTTGTCCCACCTCTGAGGTGTGGACTCGAGTCATGTGACTTGGACTCGAGTCAGACTCGAGTCATGAATTTGATGACTTCAGACTCGACTTGGACTTGCATAACAATGACTTTGTCCCACCTCTGAGGTGTGGACTCGAGTCATGTGACTTGGACTCGAGTCAGACTCGAGTCATGAATTTGATTACTTCAGACTCGACTTGGACTTGCATAACAATGACTTTGTCCCACCTCTGATTTCTCCACATATGTGGCTGTCGCCTGATGATGTCGGTTGTATTGACCGGCGAAACGTCGTACACTCAGATTGTAAATGTTGTTGTGGCTTTGCTCTGCAACGCACCCGGTGTAGTGCTGTACTAGTAACGAATTGGCCACGGTCTGTTTACATGACAAACCTCACTAAGTTTCGATTTAAAGCTTTCGTGACTGCATGGATTCATATTCTTGGTTCTTTCGGTAAAGTCACGTAGAAGGGAAATAATAGAATAATAGAAATAATTCTCACGACGTTTCGGCCACAACGGAGGCAGCCGTCCTCAGGTGAAGAACAGGTCTGTCGGAAAGACAGCGTCCTAATGAACACTGCTTAGCTTGGCAGCGTATTATTAAACTGGGTCGGAGTAGGAGAGAGCCTTGACAAAGGAGTTTACATATCAACAGAGGAATTTAGCCATGGCGGGTTTAAAACACACACACTTGTAAATGTACGCGATCTAAAGCAGAGGTCGCAAACGGGTTTTGATTCCTTACCCGTACCCGGCCGCACCAGGGTCGCAAACGGGTACCCGTACCCGTACCCTACCCGTACCCGGCCGAGTATCGGGTAGGGTACGGGTATCGGGTACCCGATTGCGACCTCTGGAATGAAGCCATGTTGCAGGCGCGGGTGGGTTGATTCTAGGAACTTGAATTGTGAGAAGAGACAAGACGTTGGTAAATGAGTGACAAACGGTGACTCACCAGTGACTCACGGTCTACCCGTACCCGGCCGCACCAGGGTCGCAAATGGGTACCCGTACCCGTACCCGGCCGGGTACGGGTAGCCGTACGCTACCCATACCCGTACCCTACCCGAAATGAGTGACAAACGGTTACTCACCGATGACTCACGGCCTACCCGTACCCGTACCCGGCCGTACCAGGGTCGCAAACAGCTACCCGTACCCGTACCCGGCCGGGTACGGGTAGCCAGGTATCGGGTAGGGTACGGGTATCGGGTACCCGGTTGCGACCTCTGATCTAAAGCCTGTATCATGGATCATTGTTGACGTTGTTTATGGCACCCGTTGCCGTTGTTGATGGTGGTTCTGCAGAAGCTTCACGAGCTCAAGAATCTGCACGCTCTCATCGCCGTGCTCTCAGCCCTGCAGAGCGCCCCCATCTTCCGTCTCGCCAAGACCTGGGGGGTACGAGCATTTAGGCCCGCACGCAACACACAAAGGCAAAGATCCCCCGTGTAGCCTGTAACGGAGCGTCGGGGCAAGTGCTGTTTGCGAGTAGCACCTGCGAAGGCTACCGGCACTGTGGCACACGAGGGGGTGGGTGGCCAGCACCATGCCCGGTTGCCTTTTATAGTCTGTATAGTACCTACTGACTCCTCTATAGTATATACTGACTCTATAGTATGTAGGGTGTGTAGGCATCTACAGAGTCAGTAGTAGTAGTATCTACTGACTATAGTATGTAGGGTGTGTAGGCACATACAGAGTCAGTAGTAGTAGTATCTACTGACTATAGTATGTAGGGTGTGTAGGCATCTATAGTCAGTAGTAGTAGTATCTACTGACTATTGTATGTAGGGTGTGTAGGCATATATAGAGTCAGTAGTAGTAGTGTCTACTGACTATGGTATGTAGGGTGTGTAGGCATATATAGAGTCAGTAGTAGTAGTATCTACTGACTATAGTATGTAGGGTGTGTAGGCATCTATAGAGTCAGTAGTAGTAGTATCTACTGACTATAGTATGTAGGGTGTGTAGGCATATAGAGTCAGTAGTAGTGGTATCTACTGACTCTATAGTATGTTGGGTGTGTAGGCACATACACCGACACTCCCTACAGACAACAGAGTCAGTAGTATCTGGACACATGGGGGGAGGGGGAAGAAGATGACTTCAGTGAGGGTGACAGGCAGCCGTAGGCCAGTGAAATTCTAGTTGATTAAAGTTAGAACTCTCAAATAAACACGATGTTGTGAAAGACCCAAAGCAGAAGATCCCCTGGGGTTTGAGGCTACTCTTGATCCACCGTCGAACGCATCCACCGCACAAACCACGCGGATGACATCTGCAGCAGAATAGTAGTCGTGGTGCAACTGTGGTCACCCAGAATAGACACTAGTGCACCGTGTAACAACACAATGCCCAATCCACAAATACGAGGAAGACATCACGGCGGTGATGATGGCACACTACTACGCTGCTGGTCCTGATGTCGTTATTTGGCTTGACCCACCTGATAGTGACATTGTGGTTTGTTGTGCTGCATCTACATCAGCCATACGAAAGAAGAGACGCTTAGATACCCATAGAGATCCAGACTAATAGAGACACACAGAGACTCATAGACACCCACAGAGATCCAGACTAATAGAGACCCACAGAGACTCATAGATACCCATAGAGATCCAGACTAATAGAGACCCACAGAGACTCATAGATACCCATAGAGATCCAGACTAATAGAGACACACAGAGACTCATAGACACCCATAGAGATCCAGACTAATAGAGATGCACAGAGACTCGGAGACCACATAGAGACCCATAGAAACGCTCATACTAATAGAGAAATCACGACGACGACGACGATGATGATGATGATACACCCACTCCGCTTGCCGTTATCCGCTGTGAAATTGTAGTTGATTTCTCTGCGTCTACATCAGCAGCCCAGACGAAAGAAAGATTTAAGATGATTTCCCTTCCCAGCTGCTGAGCCGCAAGGACAAGGCGTCGTTCGACAAGCTGGACTACCTCATGTCCAAGGAGGACAACTACAAGCGCATCCGGGAGTACGTGCACAGCATCCGCATGATGCCCTGCATCCCGTACCTCGGTAAGCCCCCGGGGCCCCATCGGCCGGCGACGTGGCGGTCCAGCAGCAGTGGAGGGTCGGTGGATCGCCGTGTGAATGTCGTGAGGTTCCCTTCCCCCCCCCCCCCCATCCGTGGGTGGACGTCGAGAAGGCGCCCCTGGTACCTTGGCTCCGCCAGGGGCGCCACGGTGGCTAGGATATGTTAACTACCTTGCCTGGTGTACAGGAGGTCATGGGTTCGATCCCGATCCTGACACCTGTTGTGTATTTGGAGTTTGCAGTGTCTCTCTCTCATCATCATGGTGGCTAGGAGATGTTAACTACTTCGCCTGGTATGCAGGAGGTCGTGGGATCGACCCTGACCCTGACACCTGCTGTATATTTGGAGTTTGCGTGTCTCTCTCTCTTATCATCATCATGGTGGCTCGGAGATGTTAACTACCTCGCCTGGTGTACAGGAGGTTGTGGGTTCGATCTCGACCCCTGACACCTGCTGTATATTTGGAGTTTGCGGTGTCTTTCTCTCTCATCATCATCATCACGGTGGCTAGGAGATGTTAACTACCTCGCCTGGTGTACAGGAGGTCGTGGGTTCGATGCAGACCCTGACGCCTGCTGCTGTATATTTGGAGTTTGCGGTGTCTTTCTCTCTCATCATCATCACGGTGGCTAGGAGATGTTAACTACCTTCGCCGGCCGTCGCAGAGCCTCGCGGTTCGAATGCAGCCAGGGGCCGTCCCGGTTGTTGCAGATGAGGTTGCCGATTTGTTTGATTGCTTATTTATTCAGAACGCGGCATCGCCGGCGCGCTCGGTCCACGCGAGAGGCGTCCGTCCCTCCCCCGCGATGAAGCTCACGCGGGCCGGCGGTGGTCAAGTGGCGATGTTATTTATTTGGTAAAGTGACGTAAACGAACGCCGAATGCGGTGGGGGCGGTGGGGGGGCGGGGACGGGGAAAACCGTGAACACCCCGTCGATCTGCCCCCTCTTGCCCCCTGCGAGATAAATCGTCTGCGCGTGAACTAGCGAATGAATGAATTGATTAATCCGAGCGTGTGCCAAGGTTTCTCTCTCGAACACGTGGTAAGCATTCATCACGGCGGGATCGCAGCTCCATACGGTAAATGGAGTTCAATTATATAATTCATTCAAGGACAGTGCATATCATTATCATCATCAGAGTTGTTTCTTTTTGTTTGCATTTTGACTGCTTGTGTTGTGGTTATTGCAAACATGATCCCTTGTATAAAGGTGTCAGTTTTGTACCAGTTTAAAGGGTAAAACCCTACTACTATATTTTGCCACTGGTAAAGGAGATGTCTCATAGTGTAAATGCTTACCCCGAGCTCTCAATACTCTGATAGTGCGCTGTCTTTGAGTTGTACGCCTTTTGGCGTCATCTGCTCTAACACCAATGGAGACTAGACTTTAAGAAAAGCTGTCTCGGGTGTGGGCCAATCAACTTCAAGGACAGTGCATATCATTATCATCATCAGAGTTGTTTCTTTTTGTTTGCATTTTGACTGCTTGTGTTGTGGTTATTGCAAACATGATGCCTTGTATAAAGGTGTCAGTTTTGTACCAGTTGATAGGGTAAAAACCTATTACTATATAATTCATTCTATAATATATATTTTTTTTACCAACACAAACCCACACTCGTGTTCTTTCAAAGAATCCCCTTTCGACATCACGCATATTTTCAGCAGCGCGTCGTTCTAGTTTTCCGCGCGCCCGAGTCGCTCGCATCATCTGCTGAGCACACGCACTTGGCAGGCTCGAAAGAGAGAGAGAGACGCACGTAGGCCAAGGCCCCCACCGCCGCCACCGCAAGATTATAAACGATCCCTCCTGTAGCCCGCACAGCGGCGGGCGACGGTGAGCGAGCGAGCGCTGTTAACGAGCACCTATTGAGGCTGGCACGGCGGCACGCCCATCGTGGTGGGTGCGGTGTGACCGGAACCACGCTCATCCGGCCCCGCCGGCGGTGTCCGTTGGCACACGGCGCCAGATACACGCGGTGGGGGCCGGTGGGGGAGGGTGGCAGCCACGCTGACGTCGTCACGTGGTTTCACTCATCCGCCGGAGATGCACGCTCGGTGACGCGCGGGCGCGCTTGGCGTCTCCGAATCGGGGTGCGGAGGAGGCGGGGGAAAAAAACGAGGAATGGTTTTTATTCGCGCGCTCGTCGCAGCGAAAGGCGAGGCGGAGAGACGCGGCGGGGGTAGCTCCGAGTAGGATTTAGTCAACGCAGGAAGATACGAAGCGGTAGCGTGGGTCGGACTCTTGTACATGCGGTGCATCGTGTGCTGTGTCGTAGTGTATGGAAGTGTATAGTAGTGAGTACGTGTGTTCTTTTGCACCATACGTAGCAAACCGTGCCAGTTGGAGGTGCAGTGTTGAGTTTGGGCAATGATAGTCAATGGGTAGTGTTAGTCTATGGGCAGTGTTGAGTCTATGGGTAGTGTTAGTCTATGGGCAGTGTTGAGTCTATGGGTAGTGTTAGTCTATGGGCAGTGTTGAGTCTATGGGTAGTGTTAGTCAATGGGCAGTGTTGAGTCTATGGGTAGTGTTAGTCTATGGGCAGTGTTGAGTCTATGGGTAGTGTTAGTCTATGGGCAGTGTTGAGTCTATGGGTAGTGTTAGTCTATGGGCAGTGTTGAGTCTATGGGTAGTGTTAGTCTATGGGCAGTGTTGAGTCTATGGGTAGTGTTAGTCAATGGGTAGTGTTAGTCTATGGGCAGTGTTGAGTCTATGGGTAGTGTTAGTCTATGGGCAGTGTTGAGTCTATGGGTAGTGTTAGTCTATGGGCAGTGTTGAGTCTATGGGTAGTGTTAGTCTATGGGCAGTGTTGAGTCTATGGGTAGTGTTAGTCTATGGGCAGTGTTGAGTCTATGGGTAGTGTTAGTCTATGGGCAGCGTTGAGTCTATGGGCAGCGTTGAGTCTATGGGCAGCGTTGAGTCTATGGGCAGCGTTGAGTCTATGGGCAGCGTTGAGTCTATGGGCAGCGTTGAGTCTATGGGCAGCGTTGAGTCTATGGGCAGCGTTGAGTCAATGGGCAGTGTTGAGTCTATGGGTAGCGTGAGTCTATGGTCAATGTTGAGTCTATGGGCAGCGTTGAGTCTATGGGCAGCGTTGAGTCTATGGGCAGTGTTGAGTCTATGGGCAGCGTTGAGTCTATGGGTAGTGGTGAGTCTATGGGTAGTGTTGAGTCTATGGGTAGTGTTGAGTCTATGGGTAGTGTTGAGTCTATGGGTAGTGTTGAGTCTATGGGCAGTGTTGAGTCTATGGGTAGTGTTGAGTCTATGGGCAGCGTTGAGTCTATGGGTAGCGTTGAGTCTATGGGCAGCGTTGAGTCTATGGGTAGCGTTGAGTCTATGGGCAGCGTTGAGTCTATGGGTAGTGTTGAGTCTCCGGGCAGAATTATTTGTTGAACTTATTTCGCACCGTACATAGCGAACTGTGTGAAACATTGGTTGGTACAACCTAAAAAAAGTAGTTGTAGCCCAGCTGCAACTCCTATTGTTTTTGGTTTTTACCGCCGTTATAAAAGTCGCGTCTGAAATTGTACCAAATCGAAGGAAGATGCACCAGGAAGATCACATCCGTGATTGTGATGGGTATAAAGATAAATAACGTGATGACAACAAATTTGAGGGATTTTTTTAAAACCGCATTTTGCTGAGCACAGGGCCACCAAAGGCCCACAAAATGCCAAGCGGCCAAAGTTGTAATCGATAAGATTCAAACACGACCCTTGAATTGAGTAAAGTGATGACGATGATAACGCTGTATATAGTCTGCTGCTGATGATGATGATGGTGACGATGGCGACATCGTCAGCGTCGCATCCCATCCGAAACCATTCCATTGCCACGGGCGCTGACAATAATCCATAAATTAATTCTAGATTTGAAGCTTTCGTGACTGCAATGATTCATATTCTTAGGTTTTTTTCGGTAAAGTCACGTAGGTAAAACATCTAAATTAATAAAAATTAAATAAAATAAAGATCACGAGGTTTCGGAGGCAACACAAGTCTCCGTCATCAGGTGGGACCGTCACAGCCAGATTAGCTGCATCACTTGATGCATTAGCTGCATCACTTGATGCAGCTAATCTGGCTGTGACGGTCCCACCTGATGACGGAGACTTGTGTTGCCTCCGAAACGTCGTGATTTTATTTTATTTTAATTAATTTTGATGTTTTACCTACGTGACTTTACCGAAAAAACCTAAGAATATAAAGATGATAACGCTGTATATAGTCTGACGTGGAACACGATGCTGCTGCTGCTGCTGATGATGATGGCGACATCGTCAGCGTCGCATCCCATTCGAAACCATTCCATTGCCACGGGCGCTGACAATAATCCACAACACGGCAGTCAAGTAGAAAACGAGGGCGATCGATAACAATGACTGGTCGACGATTCGGTGATTATGATGATGATAATAACGCTGTGATGTAGCCTGACGATGCTGATGATGATGATTGAGTTTAACACGAAGGCTTGTATCACCCGTAATACAAATCGCGTAAATATATTTTACGCGATCTAACCCAAAAAAACCTGTATTATGATGATGATGCTGACGAGAACACGGATATACCAAGCTGATGACGATGATGACGACGACGATGATGATGATTTGCTATGGCGATATTGGCAGCGTCGCATCCCAACCGAAGCTATTCCCTGGCCACGGCCGCTGACAACAATCCGCGACACGGCAATCTAGTCTAAGACGAGGGCGATCCATAACAACCACGGCGACTCCCGACCGCACGGATCGTCGCGACGACGGCCACCCCACCACCGGCACCACCTCTCCCGCCCGCCGCTGCTCAGTGGTAGAAGTTTGGGTTGGGCCGTATCATGAGCACGATGCTCTTGAGCGAGTAGGCCGTGCCACGGAACGTCGTCCAGTAGGCGCCGTCTTGCTCGCTGCCCGCGTAGCGGCCGCCCTCGTACCACACGCCGTTGAGGTTTGCGTGCGAGCACGCGTTGTACCACCAGCCGCCCTTCTGGTGATGCGCGCAGTTCCCTGCGGCGAGGAGCGGGAGGGGTGGGGGGGGGAAGAGACGGGGCGTCAAGGACTAGCGAGGCGAGCGCGCTTGGTGAAGTGTAAAAAAAAATTTACTCTTGGGTTTTTTCTGGTAAAGTCACGTAGGTAAAAAAATAAAATAAAAAAATAAAAATAAGAATAAATGAAAATAAAGCAATTAATAAAAAAATGTAAAATAAGAATAAATGAAAAGAAATCAATTAATTGATTTATTTGATTTATTTTCATTTATTTTTATTTTTTAATAAATCAATCACCCCTGAAGGCGTCGTTGTCGCGGTCGTAGGTGCTGAACGGCTTCCCGTGGTGCAGCCCCATGGAGTCGCCCGCCGTGCCGCGGAAGTGGCCCAGCCTCAGGCGGTAGTTGTCCTCCTCGCTCTCCACGCGGAAGCTACGCCCAGCGCGGAGAGGGCAGGGGAGATGAGAGGGGAGGGGAGATGAGGGGGGAGATGAGGGGGGAGATGAGGGGAGGGGAGGAGAGGGGGAGGGGAGATGAGAGGGGAGATGTGAGGGAAGGGGAGGAGAGGGGGGAGGGGAGATGAGAGGGGAGAGGAGATGAGAGGGAGATGAGGGGAGTGGAGTGGAGGGGGAGGGGAGATGATAGGAGAGGAGCAGGGAGGAGGGGGGAGATAAGAGGGGCGAGATGAGAGGGGTTGGATGAGAGGGGAGATGAGGGGAGGGGAGATGAGGGAAGGGGAGATGAGGGGGAGGGGAGGAGAGGGGGAGGGGAGATGAGAGGGGATGAGAGGGGAGGGGAGGGGAGATGAGAGGGGACGAGCGGGGAGGAGGGAGGAGATGAGAGGGGCGAGATGAGAGGGGAGGGGAATAGAGGGGAGGGGGAAGGGGAGATGAGAGGGGAGGGGAGGGGAGTGGAGGAGAGGGGGAGGGGAGATGAGAGGGGAGGAGCAGGGAGGAGGGGGGAGATGAGAGGGGGGAGATGAGAGGATGGAGATGAGAGGATGGAGGGGGATGGTAGTCGCTCAGATGAGAGCGGGGGTTACCCCCCTCCCTCCATCCACCCCGCCAATGAAGCTCGAGTTTTGGCCAAAATCCTTGTTGTTAACAAGTTCGTACTTTACCTTTGACTGCGTGGGCTTGTCTGTCTATCCGTCTTGTGTCTGTCTGTTTCATTCGTCTGTCATTCCATCCCTCCGTAAAGGGGGGACGCACGGAAACGCCGGGATCCAGGCCTGCTGTGACTTTAACTGGATTCTATGTCCTAGATTTGAAGTTTTCGTGTCTGCAAGGGTCCATACTCTTTGGTTTTTTCGGTAAAGTCACGTAGGTCAAGAAAGAAAACAAATCGATTAAATCGCGACGTTTCGGAGGCAACACAAGCTTCCGTCAAGTGAAGAGAGCTCTCTTCACTTGATGCAGTAGTTTTGCTGTGACGGTTCCACCCGAAGACGGAGGCTTGTGTTGCCTCCGAAACGTCGTGATTTCATTTATTTGTTTTCTTTTTTTTAACCCACGTGACTTTACCGAAAAAACCAAAGCGTATTCTCTGTCCTGTCGAGCCATGCAAAAGAGCCGTTCCGTACTGCGCGCGGATATTGCGACCTGTGGCCCCGTCAACTGACCGTCGAACTGCCTGACCCGTGGTTACGTGCGACCCACGACGATCTGCGTCGTGGCGACCGTATAATTCACAAGCCGAACGATGCGGTGATTTTTTTTCCGTTGGACGACGTCGCTTGCGACGGGTCGGGCATTTTTCGGCGGGGTGCTCGAATCGCGGCGGTGGTCAAACCCCGGTGGCGGTGGAATCCCGGTGGCATCGGCGGTACCTGCCGTACTCGGCGAAGGCGCGACGCCCATCCCAGTCCTGCAGCGCGACGAGAAGGCGGTAGTTGCGCTCGCTGGTGAGCGCGTGCATCGTTTGGAGCCCCAGCCAGTGCTCCTCTTCCACGCGGCCAAAGCCGATCTGAACGCCGGCGCAATCGGCACACACGACGCGTCGTCGCTCACTCGCTCGCCGTTTCTCTCGCCCGAATCGTTCATTCGTTCATTCGTTCGCTCAGGGAACTCGCTTGTACACTCGCCACGTCGCTCGCTCGCGCATTCGTTCACTCGCTCGTGGACAAAGTCCCTTTTGCACGCACCTTTACATCATACGCACCTGGTTTACAGAACAAAGGCTCATTCCTAGCAGCGTGCTTCAGCCGCACCGAACCTCACAAATATAATATTCAGAGCCTACCTTGGCTCCTCACACCCTCAACCAGTATATATACAAGGACTGTGTTCTTGGAATTTCTCTCACTTGATACAGCAATCGTGCTGTGACGGTTCCACCTGAAGACGGAAGCTTGTGTTGCCTCCGAAACGTCGTGATTTTTATTTTATTTTTATTTTACTTTTATTAATTTAAATTTTTTACCTACGTGGCTTTACCGAAAAAACCTAAGAATATAAAGAAATTCCCCCCCCACCGCTGCCTCCGTATAGCCTCAACAGACTGTTGGGGTAAGTGCTGGTTAGCAAGCAGCACGGACGAACAAAGACGGTGGGCACCGCATCGCGCGCTTTCAGAAGCGCTTCTGCGGACGTCTGGAACGCACTTTTAAATCATCGTCGTCTAGATTGACAAACTCATTTGCTTTAAGTGTTTAGTTTATTTTCTTTCCCCCGCACCTCCAATTAACACGGTTGGCTACGTATGGTGTGAAACAAGTTAAAACATACACACTGCCCATAGACACAACACTGCCCATACACTCAACACTGCCCATAGACTCAACACTGCCCATACACTCAACACTGCCCATACACTCAACACTACCCATAGACTCAACGCTGCCCATAGACTCAACACTGCCCATATACTCAACACTGCCCATAGACTCAACACTGCCCATATACTCAACACTGCCCATAGACTCAACACTACCCATAGACTCAACACTGCCCATAGACTCAACACTGCCCATAGACTCAACACTGCACCATAGACTCAACACTGCACCATAGACTCAACACTACCCATAGACTCAACACTGCCCATAGACTCAACACTGCCCATAGACTCAACACTGCCCATAGACTCAACACTGCCCATAGACTCAACACTGCCCATAGACTCAACACTGCACCATAGACTCAACACTGCACCATAGACTCAACACTACCCATAGACTCAACACTGCACCATAGACTCAACACTGCCCATAGACTCAACACTGCCCATAGACTCAACACTGCCCATAGACTCAACACTGCCCATACACTCAACACTACCCATAGACTCAACACTGCCCATAGACTCAACACTGCCCATAGACTCAACACTGCCCATAGACTCAACACTGCACCATAGACTCAACACAGTCGGGAATCGTCCCGTCCCCCCGTCACCTTGTACGCGTCCCAGTCGCGCGCGAACGAGACGGCGCCGTCGCTGCGCCGCTGCACCACGGTCCAGCCGCCGGGGTCGCGCTCCTGGTCGCACCACGCGTGCCGCAGCAGCGGGCTCCCGGCGGCCGGGCGCAGCAGGTAGCGCCCCGAGCGCCGATAGCCGGCATCCCACGCCTCCTGGCAGTCGCGCCACGGCCCTGCCACACGCGGGAGACCGGCAGGGGCGGTGTTAGCGGGAGCGGGGTCGCGGTAAGGGTGGCGGCGGTGGTGGTGTTAGTGGGAGCGGGGCCGTGGTAAGGGTGGCGACGGTGGTGGTGTTAGTGGGAGCGGGGCCGCGGTAAGGGTGGCGACGGTGGGGGCGGTGGCGTTGTTAGTGGGAGCGGGGTCGCGGTAAGGGTGGCGGCGGTGGTGGTGGTGTTAGTGGGAGCGGGGTCGCGGTAAGGGTGGCGGCGGTGGTGGTGGTGTTAGTGGGAGCGGGGTTGCGGTAAGGGTGGCGGCGGTGGTGGTGGTGTTAGTGGGAGCGGGGTCGCGGTAAGGGTGGCGGCGGTGGTGGTGGTGTTAGTGGGAGCGGGGTCGCGGTAAGGGTGGCGGCGGTGGTGGTGGTGTTAGTGGGAGCGGGGCCGCGGTAAGGGTGGCGGCGGTGGGGGCGGTGGTGGTGTTAGTGGGAGCGGGGTCGTGGTGCCGGCGGTATCGTTACCAGTGGTGTGAGCAACAGCAGCAGCTTCGTTGGTATCGGCGGTGTCAGTCATGTCAGCAGTGTCGGCAGCAGCAGTGTCGGCAGCAGCAGTGTCGGCAGCAGCAGTGTCGTTTGCATAGGCATCATCAGGAGTGTCGTTTCCATAGGCATCATCAGCAGTTCAATTTCCATAGTCATCATCAGCAGTGTCAGCAGCAGCAGCAGCAGCGTCAGTGGTGCCACGTGTTATTGGTATCTGTAGTGGTATTAGTTGTCACGATGTGTGGATGTTGGCGCCACCGCACATAGCCGAACGCGCTCATCGGAGGTTCGGGGGGAAGAAGAACAGCGACGCACAGAGAGGAGGCTCCGTTCACCTTCCAGCACCACGTGTGGCTTCTCCGTGGCCCGCACCGCCACCCTTGTCCGGCGCGGGCGGCACGGCCGCGTCGCGGGAGCCGTGCCGCATCACCGCGTTGTCCGGTGCGGCGGCCGCCCCCCCCCCGCCGCGATTCCCAACCTCCCGGCCACCGTCACTCCCGGGCGCCCAGTTCGCGCCTCCGCCGCCGACGGCGGACAGCCCTTGGGATGAAGAGCGACAGGGGACACATTCGGAGCTCCGTTCGGCACCGGCGCCATCGCCACAAAGGCGGTGTGAGAACTTTACGGAGACATCGGGTTAGAGTGTCGTTGCCTGGAAGAAAAACTAAAATATAAAATGGCTCTATCGGCACCGAGGCTGCCGCAAGGACACGCCGGAGCCGGCCCGCGGCACGGTTTTGGCGCCGGCCATCGTAGCGCGGCGGTCGTGTTGCCACGGTTCCCTGCGGTGAGTAACGGCGTCTTTAGAAACGACGGCGCTGCTGCCGCTGCTACGCCTCTCTCTAAATACAATGAACTCCGTTCCGCTCGCGCTTTTCTAGATTCGGCGGTGAACCGGGACGCCCGCCGCCCCACTCCCACACCCTGCGACTCGCAGACGACTCGGAACGGGGAAAGGGTGAATTCCCTGTGATCTCTAAGTCGGCTCAAACCGTGACCCCCCCCCCCTCCATCCCCGCCTCAAGCGGCATGCGCGCCACCTTGCTTCCCCGCCCAGCCATCACCAGCCCCGTGCTGCCGTCGCGCCGTCTGCGTCGCCAGCGCCGGGGTTCGCTCGCTCTCGCGTTCTCCAGTCGCCAATCTCCCCGCGGCGTCACCACCTCCTCCGCTTCCTCCTCCGCCCCCTTTGCCGCAACCGTACGAAGTTTCCGAGCCGGCAGAGTCCCCGCCGTTGGTCGTCGCACGCCACGCGCGGTCCGGCGAGGGGATCGGCGACGCGACGGCGCCGCCTCCACCGTCAGCCCCTCGCTCCGCCGAGGGCAGCGACGAGGTCGCGCGGCGAGGGTCGGGGGGCGGTGGCGGCTGCTGGGCGTCGAGCGGCCGCTGGTGGCAGCAGCGCAGGCCCAGGCGGGCGAGCGTGGCCGTGTGGTTGCCGACGGTCTCCGACAGCGCGTCGTAGCTGCACGGGTTTCGGGGTGGGGTGGGGGGGGGAGAGCGGGTGGCAAGGATTGGTGGGTGACCGGCGTGCGTGCGAGCCACCAACCATCGTCGCGTGCATGGGCAGGTGACCATCTCCTGGCTTTTACGGCCTGGGTGCGACGGGCAGTAGTGGAGGTGGCGATCCCGACCCTGACGCCTGCTGCTGTATATTTGGAGTCTGCGTGTCTCTCTCTTATCATCATCACGGTGGCTAGGAGATGTTAACTACCTCGCCTGGTGTACAGGAGGTCGTGGGTTTGATCCAGACTCTAACGCCTGCTGCTGTATATTTGGAGTTTGCGTGTCTCTCTCTCTCTCATCATCATCACGGTGGCTAGGAGATGTTGACTACCTCGCCTGGTGTACAGGAGGTCGTGGGTTTGATCCAGACTCTAACGCTTGCTGTATATTTGGAGTTTGCTGCGTTTCTCTCCCCGTGGTTGCGTGGATTTTTCTCTGGGTCCTCTGGTTTTTTTCCCTCCGCATTTAGAAAACGTGCGGATTAGAGTATAAGTTTCCACGTGCTGATGATAATCCTCTTCGTTAAGCTATCAATTGTGGCGAGGTCACTTCTGAAAAAGAGCTTCATAGCTCAGTGGGCCTTAACCTGGTAAAATACAAAAAATTTGTCTTATTAGTTTAGTTTGCAATCCGTTGTGGGCCCACAGCGCGTTCGACTCACGTGCTCTGGATGCGCACGTAGTGTCCGTGCAGGCCCAGGCTGTGCGTCTCCTGCTCGCTCACGCGCTTGTGCAGCTCCGAGCGAGCCGCGTGGAGGGTGCGGCCTTGCCTAGACCCACTCTGACCACCGCCACCGCCGTAGTCGCCGCCGCCACCGCCACGATCCAGCACGGTCTCGCGCAGGATGCGCGCGTACAGCGCCGTGACGCGCTCCCCCACGGCGCGGCCTGCCCGGCGGAGCGCTTGCACCGCCGCCCGTAGCCCTACGCTGGTAGCGCCACCGCTGCCACCGCCGGTAGCGCCGCCGTCTCCGCCGCCGGCGGCGGCCACCGCCGCCGCCGCTGCCGCCGCCACCACCAAATCCTCCTGGTCAGGATCCAGAGAGGCGTCTCGCGGTGTTGACAACTCGCGCATAGGATGGGGTGACCACTCGCAGCTCCGCACGGACGGATGCAATAATCCACTTGCCGTGCTGCGCGAACAACTCTCGGCCTTCCCGCAGCCAGCAGCAACCTGACGGTGCCTGCTCTTAGGTGTTTTGGGTAAAGTCACGTAGGTAAGAAAATGATTATAGAATAGTATCTTCTTGGTTCTTTCGGTAAAGTCACGTAGAATGTGACTTTACCGAAAGAACCAAGAAGATGAATCCCTGCAGTCACGAGAGCTTTAAATCGAAAGATAGAATAGTAATAAACGAAAATAACTCAATTAAAACACGGCGTTTCGGGGGTAACACAAGCTTCCTTCATCAGGTGTAATAAAAAAAATGCACAGCAAAATAACTGATGAAGGAAGCTTGCGTTGCCTCCGAAACGTCGTGATTTAATTTAGTTATTTTCATTTATTATTATTCTATCGTTTTTTTTACCGAAAAAAACCTACGAGTATGAATCCTTGCAGTCACGAAAGCTTCAAATCTAGAACTGACAGTACCTGTCATTCCCAAGTCCTAGCGAGACCCAATCCTGGAATCCTCATTCATCAGGGGAATGTGCAGCGTGGGGGGATAGATGGCAATTGAGAGCGTTCCCGGTAAGAAGATATGAAAAAGTAGAGACGGAGAAATCCTTCCCTTTTCATGAAGTCGCACCCGGCTTGTATGTATGTACGTTGAACTTCTTTCGCACCGTACGTAACCAGCCGTGTTAATCGGAAGCGCAGTGCTGAGTCTGTGGGCAGTGTTGAGTCTATGGGCAGTGTTGAGTCTATGGGTAGTGTTGAGTCTATGGGCAGTGTTAATCGGAGGCGCAGTGTTGAGCCCCCCTTCTGAAAATGAGTGAAGAACGCTGCTCTATCAGAACTGGGCGAGAGCGTTCAAACTCCACTCGGAGAGGGCACCCACACCGGGCATCGTACCCCATGGCTCCTCCTTGCTGCGAGCGTGATCGTCATACTGCCACCCGCCCTGCCACCAGCCCTGCCACCAACCCTGCCACCAGCCCTGCCACCAACCCTGCCACCAGCCCTGCCACCAGCCCTGCCACCAACCCTGCCACCCATCCTGCCACCCGCCCTGCCACCAGCCCTGCCACCCGCCCTGCCACCCATCCTGCCACCTGCCCTGCCACCAGCCCTGCCACCAGCCCTGCCACCCATCCTGCCACCTGCCCTGCCACCAGCCCTGCCACCAGCCCTGCCACCAGCCCTGCCACCAGCCCTGCCACCCGCCCTGCCACCCATACTGCCACCCGCCCTGCCAACCGCCCTCCCACCCACCCTCCCACCCACCCTCCCACCCACCCTGCCACCCGCCCTGCCACCAGCCCTGCCACCAGCCCTGCCACCAGCCCTGCCACCCGCCCTGCCAACCGCCCTGCCACCAGCCCTGCCACCCGCCCTGCCACCCGCCCTGCCACCCGCCCTGCCAACCGCCCTCCCACCCACCCTCCCACCCACCCTGCCACCCGCCCTGCCACCAGCCCTGCCACCTGCCCTGCCACCAGCCCTGCCACCCGCCCTGCCAACCGCCCTGCCACCCGCCCTGCCAACCGCCCTCCCACCCACCCTCCCACCCACCCTGCCACCCGCCCTGCCACCAGCCCTGCCACCCGCCCTGCCACCCGCCCTGCCACCCGCCCTGCCAACCGCCCTCCCACCCGCCCTCCCACCCGCCCTGCCACCCGCCCTGCCACCAGCCCTGCCACCAGCCCTGCCACTAGCCCTGCCACCCGCCCTGCCAACCGCCCTGCCACCAGCCCTGCCACCCGCCCTGCCACCCGCCCTGCCAACCGCCCTCCCACCCACCCTCCCACCCACCCTGCCACCCACCCTGCCACCCGCCCTGCCACCAGCCCTGCCACCAGCCCTGCCACCCATCCTGCCACCAGCCCTGCCACCCGCCCTGCCACCCGCCCTGCCACCCGCCCTGCCAACCGCCCTCCCACCCACCCTCCCACCCACCCTGCCACCCACCCTGCCACCCCGCCCTGCCACCAGCCCTGCCACCAGCCCTGCCACCTGCCCTGCCACCAGCCCTGCCACCCGCCCTGCCAACCGCCCTGCCACCCGCCCTGCCAACCGCCCTCCCACCCACCCTCCCACCCACCCTGCCACCCGCCCTGCCACCAGCCCTGCCACCCGCCCTGCCACCCGCCCTGCCACCCGCCCTGCCACCCGCCCTGCCACCCGCCCTGCCACCAGTCCTGCCACCCACCCTGCCACCCGCCCTGCCACCAGTCCTGCCACCAACCCTGCCACCAGCCCTGCCACCCATACTGCCACCCGCCCTGCCACCAGCCCTGCCACCCGCCCTGCCACCAGCCCTGCCACCCATCCTGCCACCTGCCCTGCCACCAGCCCTGCCACCAGCCCTGCCACCAGCCCTGCCACCAGCCCTGCCACCCATCCTGCCACCAGCCCTGCCACCCGCCCTGCCACCCGCCCTGCCACCCGCCCTGCCAACCGCCCTCCCACCCACCCTCCCACCCACCCTGCCACCCGCCCTGCCACCAGCCCTGCCATCAGCCCTGCCACCAGCCCTGCCACCAGCCCTGCCACCAGCCCTGCCACCTGCCCTGCCACCAGCCCTGCCACCCGCCCTGCCACCCGCCCTGCCACCAGCCCTGCCACGCCACCCACCCTGCCACCCACCCTGCCACCCGCCCTGCCCACCCACCTCGAACTTCTCGCCGATCTCCGCCGAGTCGTCCAGGTCTGAGAGCTGGCGCTGCAGCAGGGCAAGCTGGCGCCCGTGGGTGCCCAGCTCGGCCCAGAACTTGTCCACCACCTGAAATGGAGCAGTGCCTCCAAGTAAAGCTGCGAGCAAGGCATTGTATGCCTCGTGACAGAGCTACTAGCAAGCGTGTTAAACTAGCAAGGCATTATACACATTGTAGTAAAGCTGCGAGCAAGGCATTGTATGCCTCGTGACAGAGCTACTAGCAAGCGTGTTAAACTAGCAAGGCATTATACACATTGTAGTAAAGCTGCGAGCAAGGCATTGTATGCCTCGTGACAGAGCTACTAGCAAGCGTGTTAAACTAGCAAGGCATTATACACATTGTAGTAAAGCTGCGAGCAAGGCATTGTATGCCTCGTGACAGAGCTACTAGCAAGCGTGTTAAACTAGCAAGGCATTATACACATTGTAGTAAAGCTGCGAGCAAGGCATTGTATGCCTCGTGACAGAGCTACTAGCAAGCGTGTTAAACTAGCAAGGCATTATACACATTGTAGTAAAGCTGCGAGCAAGGCATTGTATGCCTCGTGACAGAGCTACTAGCAAGCGTGTTAAACTAGCAAGGCATTATACACATTGTAGTAAAGCTGCGAGCAAGGCATTGTATGCCTCGTGACAGAGCTACTAGCAAGCGTGTTAAACTAGCAAGGCATTATACACATTGTAGTAAAGCTGCGAGCAAGGCATTGTATGCCTCGTGACAGAGCTACTAGCAAGCGTGTTAAACTAGCAAGGCATTATACACATTGTAGTAAAGCTGCGAGCAAGGCATTGTATGCCTCGTGACAGAGCTACTAGCAAGCGTGTTAAACTAGCAAGGCATTATACACATTGTAGTAAAGCTGCGAGCAAGGCATTGTATGCCTCGTGACAGAGCTACTAGCAAGCGTGTTAAACTAGCAAGGCATTATACACATTGTAGTAAAGCTGCGAGCAAGGCATTGTATGCCTCGTGACAGAGCTACTAGCAAGCGTGTTAAACTAGCAAGGCATTATACACATTGTAGTAAAGCTGCGAGCAAGGCATTGTATGCCTCGTGACAGAGCTACTAGCAAGCGTGTTAAACTAGCAAGGCATTATACACATTGTAGTAAAGCTGCGAGCAAGGCATTGTATGCCTCGTGACAGAGCTACTAGCAAGCGTGTTAAACTAGCAAGGCATTATACACATTGTAGTAAAGCTGCGAGCAAGGCATTGTATGCCTCGTGACAGAGCTACTAGCAAGCGTGTTAAACTAGCAAGGCATTATACACATTGTAGTAAAGCTGCGAGCAAGGCATTGTATGCCTCGTGACAGAGCTACTAGCAAGCGTGTTAAACTAGCAAGGCATAATACACATTGTAGTAAAGCTGCGAGCAAGGCATTGTATGCCTCGTGACAGAGCTACTAGCAAGCGTGTTAAACTAGCAAGGCATTATACACATTGTAGTAAAGCTGCGAGCAAGGCATTGTATGCCTCGTGACAGAGCTACTAGCAAGCGTGTTAAACTAGCAAGGCATTATACACATTGTAGTAAAGCTGCGAGCAAGGCATTGTATGCCTCGTGACAGAGCTACTAGCAAGCGTGTTAAACTAGCAAGGCATTATACACATTGTAGTAAAGCTGCGAGCAAGGCATTGTATGCCTCGTGACAGAGCTACTAGCAAGCGTGTTAAACTAGCAAGGCATTATACACATTGTAGTAAAGCTGCGAGCAAGGCATTGTATGCCTCGTGACAGAGCTACTAGCAAGCGTGTTAAACTAGCAAGGCATTATACACATTGTAGTAAAGCTGCGAGCAAGGCATTGTATGCCTCGTGACAGAGCTACTAGCAAGCGTGTTAAACTAGCAAGGCATTATACACATTGTAGTAAAGCTGCGAGCAAGGCATTGTATGCCTCGTGACAGAGCTACTAGCAAGCGTGTTAAACTAGCAAGGCATTATACACATTGTAGTAAAGCTGCGAGCAAGGCATTGTATGCCTCGTGACAGAGCTACTAGCAAGCGTGTTAAACTAGCAAGGCATTATACACATTGTAGTAAAGCTGCGAGCAAGGCATTGTATGCCTCGTGACAGAGCTACTAGCAAGCGTGTTAAACTAGCAAGGCATTATACACATTGTAGTAAAGCTGCGAGCAAGGCATTGTATGCCTCGTGACAGAGCCACTAGCAAGCGTGTTAAACTAGCAAGGCATTATACACATTGTAGTAAAGCTGCGAGCAAGGCATTGTATGCCTCGTGACAGAGCTACTAGCAAGCGTGTTAAACTAGCAAGGCATTATACACATTGTAGTATAGCTGGTAGCAAGGCATTATACACATTGTAGTAAAGCTGCGAGCAAGGCATTGTATGCCTCGTGACAGAGCTACTAGCAAGCGTGTTAAACTAGCAAGGCATTATACACATTGTAGTAAAGCTGCGAGCAAGGCATTGTATGCCTCGTGACAGAGCTACTAGCAAGCGTGTTAAACTAGCAAGGCATTATACACATTGTAGTAAAGCTGCGAGCAAGGCATTGTATGCCTCGTGACAGAGCTACTAGCAAGCGTGTTAAACTAGCAAGGCATTATACACATTGTAGTAAAGCTGCGAGCAAGGCATTGTATGCCTCGTGACAGAGCTACTAGCAAGCGTGTTAAACTAGCAAGGCATTATACACATTGTAGTAAAGCTGCGAGCAAGGCATTGTATGCCTCGTGACAGAGCTACTAGCAAGCGTGTTAAACTAGCAAGGCATTATACACATTGTAGTAAAGCTGCGAGCAAGGCATTGTATGCCTCGTGACAGAGCTACTAGCAAGCGTGTTAAACTAGCAAGGCATTATACACATTGTAGTAAAGCTGCGAGCAAGGCATTGTATGCCTCGTGACAGAGCTACTAGCAAGCGTGTTAAACTAGCAAGGCATTATACACATTGTAGTAAAGCTGCGAGCAAGGCATTGTATGCCTCGTGACAGAGCTACTAGCAAGCGTGTTAAACTGGCAAGGCATTATACACATTGTAGTAAAGCTGCGAGCAAGGCATTGTATGCCTCGTGACAGAGCTACTAGCAAGCGTGTTAAACTAGCAAGGCATTATACACATTGTAGTATAGCTGGTAGCAAGGCATTATACACATTGTAGTAAAGCTGCGAGCAAGGCATTGTATGCCTCGTGACAGAGCTACTAGCAAGCGTGTTAAACTAGCAAGGCATTATACACATTGTAGTATAGCTGGTAGCAAGGCATTATACACATTGTAGTAAAGCTGCGAGCAAGGCATTGTATGCCTCGTGACAGAGCTACTAGCAAGCGTGTTAAACTAGCAAGGCATTATACACATTGTAGTATAGCTGGTAGCAAGGCATTATACACATTGTAGTAAAGCTGCGAGCAAGGCATTGTATGCCTCGTGACAGAGCTACTAGCAAGCGTGTTAAACTAGCAAGGCATTATACACATTGTAGTATAGCTGGTAGCAAGGCATTATACACATTGTAGTAAAGCTGCGAGCAAGGCATTGTATGCCTCGTGACAGAGCTACTAGCAAGCGTGTTAAACTAGCAAGGCATTATACACATTGTAGTAAAGCTGCGAGCAAGGCATTGTATGCCTCGTGACAGAGCTACTAGCAAGCGTGTTAAACTAGCAAGGCATTATACACATTGTAGTAAAGCTGCGAGCAAGGCATTGTATGCCTCGTGACAGAGCTACTAGCAAGCGTGTTAAACTAGCAAGGCATTATACACATTGTAGTAAAGCTGCGAGCAAGGCATTGTATGCCTCGTGACAGAGCTACTAGCAAGCGTGTTAAACTAGCAAGGCATTATACACATTGTAGTAAAGCTGCGAGCAAGGCATTTGTACATCGTGGTAAAGCTGCGAGCAAGGCATTGTATGCCTTGTGACAGAGCTACTAGCAAGCGTGTTAAACTAGCAAGGCATTATACATATTGTAGTATAGCTGGTAGCAAGGCATTATACATATTGTAGTATAGCTGGTAGCAAGGCATTTGTACATCGTGGTAAAGCTGCGAGCAAGGCATTGTATGCCTTGTGACAGAGCTACTAGCAAGCGTGTTAAACTAGCAAGGCAGCTATACATATTGTAGTATAGCTGGTAGCAAGGCATTATACACATTGTAGTATAGCTGGTAGCAAGGCATTATACATATTGTAGTATAGCTGGTAGCAAGGCATTATACACATTGTAGTATAGCTGGTAGCAAGGCATTATACACATTGTAGTATAGCTGGTAGCAAGGCATTATACACATTGTAGTATAGCTGGTAGCAAGGCATTATACATATTGTAGTATAGCTGGTAGCAAGGCATTATACACATTGTAGTATAGCTGGTAGCAAGGCATTATACACATTGTTGTATTGCTGGTAGCAAGGCATTATACACATTGTAGTATAGCTGGTAGCAAGGCATTATACACATTGTAGTATAGCTGGTAGCAAGGCATTATACACATTGTAGTATAGCTGGTAGCAAGGCATTATACACATTGTAGTATAGCTGGTTGCAAGGCATTATACACATTGTAGTATAGCTGGTAGCAAGGCATTATACACATTGTAGTATAGCTGGTAGCAAGGCATTATACATATTGTAGTATAGCTGGTAGCAAGGCATTATACACATTGTAGTATAGCTGGTAGCAAGGCATTATACACATTGTTGTATTGCTGGTAGCAAGGCATTATACACATTGTAGTATAGCTGGTTGCAAGGCATTATACACATTGTAGTATAGCTGGTAGCAAGGCATTATACACATTGTAGTATAGCTGGTAGCAAGGCATTATACACATTGTAGTATAGCTGGTAGCAAGGCATTATACACATTGTAGTATAGCTGCAAGCAAGGCATTATACACATTGTAGTATAGCTGGTAGCAAGGCATTATACATATTGTAGTATAGCTGGTAGCAAGGCATTATACACATTGTAGTATAGCTGGTAGCAAGGCATTATACACATTGTAGTATAGCTGGTAGCAAGGCATTATACACATTGTAGTATAGCTGGTAGCAAGGCATTATACACATTGTAGTATAGCTGGTAGCAAGGCATTATACACATTGTAGTATAGCTGCGAGCAAGGCACAGAGTACATTGTGGGTTAGCTGGTAGCAAGGTATTGCATACCTTGTGATACAGCTACTAGCAAGGCGTACAGCCGTTTCAATACTGGCGAAAAAAAGTGTTTTGTCTATTTTTTGTGTTTCTCCCTTGTGATGAACGTTGAGATAGCTCAACGAAGCGGCTTGTCATCACGTGGAAATGTAAAGCAGCCAAATGCTCTTGAGCGCGTGACGAAATGTGGAGAGAGAAATCCACGCAACTACGGGGAGAGAGACACGCAAACTCCAAATATACAGCAGCAGGTGTCAGGGGTCAGGATCGAACCCACGACCTCCTGCACACCAGGCGAGGTAGTTAACATCTCCTAGCCACCGTGATGATGATGATGAGAGAGAGAGAGACACGCAAACTCCAAATATACAGCAGCAGGCGTCAGGGTCGGGATGGAACCCACGACCTCCTGCACACCAGGCGAGGTAGTTAACATCTCCTAGCCACCGTGATGATGATGATGATGAGAGAGACACGCAAACTCCAAATATACAGCAGCAGCAGGCGTCAGGGTCGGGATCGAACCCACGACCTCCTGTACACCAGGCGAGGTAGTGAACATCTCCTAGCCACCGTGATGATGATGATGAGAGAGAGACAGACACGCAAACTCCAAATATACAGCAGCAGGCGTCAAGGTCGGGATCGAACCCACGACCTCCTGCGTACCGCGCAAGGCAGAGCCAACATCTCCCAGCCGGCGTCACTCACCGCCGTCGCCGCGACGCCGGCGGGGGTCCCTGCGTCCTGGGGGGCGCCGGCCCCCTCCTGCAGCACGCAGATGGGGCCCGCGGGCAGGTGGGGGGGCACCACGAAGGTGTGGTGGCAGCCCGCGGCGGCAGTAGCCGCGCCGGCGGCGGCAGCGCCGGCGGTGGCGGTGGCGGCGGCGGCGGCGGCGTCTCGCTTGGTGTCTTCGCGTAGCCTCGTCGCGGTGTGCACGTAGCTGCGGCCGCGAGCGACACGGGAGGGGGGGGGGGGTGGAATGCCAATGGCGGTGAGAGGCTCCGATTTTTATTTTTTTATGATTCTGACGAAGGGCGAAAGCGTTCTTGTGCTGTGGGGTAGACTCATGCTGGGTAGACTCATGCTGGGTAGACTCATGCTGGGTAGACTCTTGCTGGGTAGACTCTTGCTGGGTAGACTCATGCTGGCTAGACTCACGGGGTGTAGACTCATGCTGGCGAGACTCACAGGGGGTCGTAGACTCTCGGGGGGTAGACTCATGCTGGCTAGACTCACAGGGGGTCGTAGACTCTCAGGGGGTCGTAGACTCACGGGGTGTAGACTCACAGGGGGTCGTAGACTCACGGGGGGTAGACTCACGGGGGGGGGTGGGTAGTAGACTCACGCGTGCCTGATGTAGACGAACTCGGTCTCGTTGACGTGCTGCTCCAGGCGCTCGACCCGCACGTGCGTCTCGTCCTTCGCTTGGTAGCCGACCACCGCGGCGGCGAGTGACAGCAGCAGGCACGCCCTCGCCATCCTGGCAAACACCAAGATCCACCACCACCGTAGCAACCTCACGGTTACCGTGGCAAACTCTCCTCGACCTCACGGTTACCGTAGCGATCTCACGGTTACCGTAGCGACCTCACGGTTACCGTAGCGAACTCCCCCCGACCTCGTGGTTACCGTGGCGAACTCTCCCCGACCTCACGGTTACCGTAGCGACCTCGCGGTTACCGTGGCGAACTCTCCCCGACCTCGTGGTTACCGTAGCGACCTCACGGTTACCGTGGCGAACTCTCCCCAACCTCGCGGTTACCGTAGCGACCTCACGGTTACCGTGGCGAACTCTCCCCGACCTCGCGGTTACCGTAGCGACCTCACGGTTACCGTGGCGAACTCTCCCCGACCTCGCGGTTACCGTAGCGACCTCACGGTTACCGTGGCGAACTCTCCCCGACCTCGCGGTTACCGTAGCGACCTCACGGTTACCGTGGCGAACTCTCCCCGACCTCGTGGTTACCGTAGCGACTTCACGGTTACCGTGGCGAACTCTCCCCGACCTCGCGGTTACCGTAGCGACTTCACGGTTACCGTGGCGAACTCTCCCCGACCTCGCGGTTACCGTAGCGACTTCACGGTTACCGTGGCGAACTCTCCCCGACCTCGCGGTTACCGTAGCGACCTCACGGTTACCGTGGCGAACTCTCCCCGACCTCGCGGTTACCGTAGCGACTTCACGGTTACCGTGGCGAACTCTCCCCGACCTCGTGGTTACCGTAGCGACCTCACGGTTACCGTGGCGAACTCTCCCCGACCTCGCGGTTACCGTAGCGACTTCACGGTTACCGTGGCGAACTCTCCCCAACCTCGCGGTTACCGTAGCGACCTCACGGTTACCGTGGCGAACGCTCCCCGACCTCGCGGTTACCGTAGCGACCTCACGGTTACCGTGGCGAACTCTCCCCGACCTCGCGGTTACCGTAGCGACTTCACGGTTACCGTGGCGAACTCTCCCCAACCTCGCGGTTACCGTAGCGACCTCACGGTTACCGTGGCGAACTCTCCCCGACCTCGCGGTTACCATGGCGAACTCCCCCCGACCCTGCGGTTACCGTAGGGTGGACGTCTTTCTCCCGCTCACCTGCCGCTGTCAATCCCTCCTCCTCCTCCTGCGCTGGCCGCTGGTAACTCGCGGTGGGAGGTGCGGCGTGGGCCGGAGAGCCACCGACGGTAACGACGCCGTCCTTGATTCTCCGCGAGGCTTCAATGCGGAACCTCGTGGGGGGCTTCTGGAGCGGTGCGTACGAGCGAGCGAGCCCTCCTCCTCCTCTTCCTTTCCGTCTCGTCGGCGAGAGTTTCACTCGGTCTCTGCGACGCTTCTTTCCCTGCGCCGGGGGGGGGGGGGGCGGGGGGGCGATGGAGGAGGAGCGGATTTTTTTAAAAGTAAAAAAAAACTCGAACGCAACAAAGAGTCTTCGGCGGCGGCGGCGTCGGTGTGTGTGTGTGTCACGGTCGTTATTTATATATTTACGTTGCTCACATGTGCGTTGCGTTTTCTGTGCGTATCTGCGGGCGGTGGGGCGGGCGGGGCGGGCGGGGTGGGGGTATTGGGCCGTGTGAAGCGAGTTCTGCTCTGTGGCTGCGTTTCTTTAGACCGAGGGGTGAGGAGGACGCCGGCTTCGCGCCGCTCGGTTTGCGAATCCACCAGCGGTGACGGACCCTTCGCCCCCCCTCACCACCAACCCCCCCCTTCGCCCCCCCCCACCACCACCAACCCCCCCCCCCGCACCCGACTGCTGCCCCTGTCCGAACCGAGCGTGGTCAAGGGGTTCGCCGCAGTTGCGTGCGTGGTGGGGCAAAGCGTGTGTGTGCCGTGACTGCCGCGTCTTCCAAGACATCTGGCCGGCGCTCGGAGGGAGAGAGACGGGGAGAGCGAGAGACAGAGAGTGAGCGAGAGAGAGAGTGAGCGAGAGAGCGAGCGAGAGAGACAGAGTGAGCGAGACAGAGAGTGAGCGAGAGAGAGAGAGACAGAGAGTGAGCGAGACAGAGAGTGAGCGAGAGAGCGAGCGAGAGAGACAGAGTGAGCGAGACAGAGAGTGAGCGAGAGAGAGAGTGAGCGAGAGAGCGGGCGAGAGAGCGGGCGAGAGAGCGAGAGAGTGAGCGAGAGAGAGAGCGAGAGAGCGAGCGAGAGAGTGGGCGAGAGAGCGAGCGAGAGAGTGGGCGAGAGAGCGAGCGAGAGAGTGGGCGAGAGAGCGAGCAAGAGAGTGGGCGAGCGGGCGAGAGAGCGAGCGAGAGTGGCATTGATCGAGCAATTGCAGGGCTGCACCTTAAACTTTTTATCGCAAGCAACGTTATTTTGTTTCCTCTCTGCGTACGCGTTATTGACGAGCGCGTGTTGAGGGTTTCTACCGTGTCTTGGGTGCGTGGGTCTGTGTGGTGAAGTATGGTCAATCAACTGCCACTGGCACTCGAGACATAGACACAGAGAAGAGAGGGGAGTATTGTGTGGGTTAGTGAGTTGGTGAGTGAATGGGTGGATGAGTGGGTGGGTAGGTGGATGAGTGGGGGAGTGTTTGGGTGGGTGAGTGGGTAGGTGGGTGAGTCGGTGGGTGGGTGATTGGGTGGGTGAGTCGGTGGGTGAGTCGGTGGGTGAGTGGGTGATTGGGTGGGTGAGTCGGTGGGTGAGTAGGTGGGTGAGTCGGTGGGTGAGTCGGTGGGTGAGTCGGTGGTTGGGTGAGTTGGTGAGTTGGTGGGTGAGTGAGTTGGTGGGTGGGTGAGTTGGTGGGTGGGTGAGTGGGTGGGTGAGTGGGTAGGTGGGTGAGTGGGTGATTCGGTGGGTGAGTTGGTGAGTGGGTGAGTTGGTGAGTGGGTGAGTTGTTGGGTAAGTGGGTGAGTTGGTGAGTTGGTGAGTGGGTGGGTGAGTTGGTGAGTGGGTGGGTGAATGGGTAGGTGGGTGAGTGGGTGATTCGGTGGGTGAGTTGGTGAGTGGGTGAGTTGGTGAGTGGGTGAGTGGGTGAGTTGTTGGGTGGGTGGGTAAGTTGGTGAGTGGGTGAGTTGTTGGGTAAGTGGGTGAGTTGGTGAGTGGGTGAGTGGGTGAGTTGTTGGGTGGGTGGGTAAGTGGGTGAGTTGGTGAGTGGGTGAGTGGGTGAGTTGTTGGGTGGGTAAGTTGGTGAGTGGGTGACTTGGTGAGTGGGTGGGTGAGTTGGTGAGTGGGTGGGTGGGTGAGTTGTTGGGTGGGTGGGTGAGTTGGTGAGTGAATGGGTAGGTGAGTTGATGAGTGAGTGAGTAGCTGAGTGAGACATAGACATAGACACAGGAAGAGAAGGCAGAGATCTGAGCCCCCTGTGAATCTGGGAGTTACAGAATTACATTCTCAGCTGTTGACTTGTACACCAAATGTAATGAATTGAGAGGAGGTGGGGGGAGGAAGTTGTTCTCAGAAATGTTTAAAAATTACTTCACTTGTCCACATGCATATCGAGTGGCACCCTCGCAGCGTGGATGGATTACACGCGTAAAATATAAAAATATCTCACTTTGCATCACAGTAACTTATGGCTTCTATGTGCCGGCCAAATCACCCTTGAGAATCGCTTTCTTTGGCTCGGTTGGGCTTTGCTCGGAGAAATACGCTCCTGGCTCGGTGCATGCGAGTGTGAGCGAGTGCGAGCGAGTGCTTCGGTGCATGCGAGTGTGAGCGAGTGTGAGCGAGAGCGAGCGAGTTGGTGTTGGTCGCACAATCGACGCACCCTTACGAGTGGTCGCATTTCCCACTTGTGCGTGTGTGTGCGCGTGTGTGCACGTGTGTGTGGACGTGTGTGTGTGTGTGTGTGCGTGCGCGTGTGTGTGCGTGCGCGTGTGTGTGCGTGTGTGTGTGTGTGCGTGTGTGTGTGTGTGCGTGTGTGTGCACTTGTGTGTGCGTGCGCGTGTGTGTGCGTGCGCGTGTGTGTGCGTGTGTGTGCGTGCGCGTGTGTGTGCACTTGTGTGTGCGTGCGCGCGTGTGTGTGTGTGCGTGTGTGTGCGTGCGCGTGTGTGTGTGTGTGTGCACTTGTGTGTGCGTGCGCGTGTGTGTGCACTTGTGTGTGCGTGCGCGTGTGTGTGTGTGTGCGTGTGTGTGCGTGTGTGTGCACGTGAGTGTGTGTCTGCCTGCAACGGAGTGCGGTAGTTGTAGTGGTTAGCGCTACGCTGCGCTACAAACCCGGCGACCCGAGTTCGATTCCCGCTCGCGGCCAACACCGGTGACGATTATCTGAACCGGTCCTGGGCCTCCCCTAGGTCGACTCGGCCTCAAATGAGTACCTGGTGCGGTGTGTAAAAACTCCGCGACTGGAGAGACAAAGGCGGCCGGGCGTGGTCCCTCCCTCCCACCCACCCTGGCGTGCCGTTCCGGCCTTCACAGGTGCTGCTGCTGCTGCTTGCTAGCGGCACTTGCCCCGACAGTCTGTTAGAGGCTACACGGGGGACCTTTATCTCTGTGTGTGCCTGCGTGAGTCGAGAGCGAGGGAGCGCACCGCGTGCACAGACCTGCGACGGACGCGCGACTGAACAACGTGTGAGTCGGTGCACTGAGGGAGGGGGGGGTGTGTACGTGTGTGTGTACGTGTGTGTGTGTACGTGTGTGTGTGTGTACGTGTGTGTGTGTGTACGTGTGTGCGTGTGTGCGTACGCGTGTGTGTGTACGCGTGTGTGTGTGTGTAGGTGTGTGTGTACGTGTGTGTGTGTATGTGTGTGTGTGTACGTGTGTGTACGTGTGTGTACGTGTGTGTACGTGTGTGTGTGTACGCGTGTGCGTGTACCTGTGTGTGCGTGTACCTGTGTGTGTGTGAACGGGGTGTGTGTGCGTGTGTGTGTACGTGTGTGTACGTGTGTGTACGTGTGTGTGTGTACGTGTGTGTGTACGTGTGTGTGTACGTGTGTGTGTACGCATGTGTGTGTGAGTACGCGTGTGTGTGTACGCATGTGTGTGTGTGTGTACGCGTGTGTGTGTGTACGCGTGTGTGTGTGTACGTGTGTGTGTGTGTACGTGTGTGTGTGTGTACGCGTGTGTGTGTGTACGCGTGTGTGTGTACGTGTGTGCGTGCGTGCGTGTGTGTGTACGTGTGTACGTGTGTGTGTGTGTGTGTACGTGTGCGTGTGTAAACGTGTGTGTGCACGCGTGTGTGTGTGTGTACGCGTGTGTGTGTACGCGTGTGTGTGTGTGCGTGTGTAAACGTGTGTGTGTGTGTACGTACGTTACCCGTACGTGCTGCGGCAGTGCAGATCCCGGCTCTCGACCGAGACACCAAAGAGGAAATGTGTCGTGGGAGCTGTTGGCGGCGTTCCTTCCCAAGAATTCAACATTTCTTAGAAAAATCTTTGCGGACTCCCCACGAGCTTGCGCGCTCGCTCTCTCGCTCTCTCGCACTCTCTCTCTCTCTCTGGCGTGGTAGCCAACGTCTCGGGCAATCACCCTTCTTTACACTCAAAACGTTTCTGCGATAAAAAGTTGAAGGTGCAGCCCTGCAATTGCTCGCTCAATGCTCTCTCTCGGTCACTCTCTCGGTCACTCTCTCTCGCTCACTCTGTCGCTCACTCTCTCTCGCTCTCGCACTCTCTCACTCTCTCTCTCGCTCACCCCGCCGGCTCCTCCCTGGGTTCACTCGCTCGTTCGCCCGGCGCACGCTGACTCGCTCACTCGCTCACTCACTCGCTGACCCTCTGACCCGCTCGCACAGATAAAGACAAAGATCCGCCGGGCAAGTGCCCGTCAGCGGAGTTAGCAGCACCTACGCGAGGTGGGGGGGTGGGTGGCCAGCGCCAGGCCCGGCCGTCTTTGTATCCCCAACGCTGAACTTTATCCACCGCACCTCGAACTAATTGAAGGCTGAGTCGACCTAGGGGGAGGCCCAGGACCGGTTCGGATAACCGGGGTTGGTGGCCGTGAGCGGGAATCGAACTCGGGTCGCCGGGTTCGCAGCGCTAACTGCTGCACCACCGCTCCCCTCATCAAAGATCCCCCGTGTAGCCTTAACAGACTGTTGGGGCAAGTGCTGTTAGCGAGCACCTATGAAGGCCGGAACGGCACACGAGGGGGTGGGTGGCCAGCACCACGCCCGACCGCCTTTGTCTCCCCAGTGGCGATGTTTACACACCGCACCAGGTACTCCTTTCAGGCTGAGTCGACCTAGGGGAGGCCCAGGACCGGTTCAGATAATCGTCACTGGGTGTTGGCCGTGAGCGGGAATCGAACTCGGGTCGCCGGGTTCGTGGCGCAGCGTAGCGCTCACCGCTGCACCACCGCTCCCCACATACACACAGACACACACACACAGACACACACGTACACGTACGCACGTATACACGCGTACACAACAACAAGATGGGTTATTTAAATATTTTCAAGACTTAGCAGCACAATTATTCAATAAACTGTACGATATTTTTTTCCCACTCGACAAATCTCAAATATGTGGCCTATGGGGGGTGGGGGGGCTCTTGTCTGTAACCATGGGTTACACTTTTTAAAATAAACAAGGGGTGTGGTCCCAATACAGAAGCGGCAGTCCATGCACACTTCAGTCTAAACTCGCTCAAACATTCTCGACGTCGCCGCCGGCATCGTCGTTATCATCGACTGCGGCATTATCATCATCAGCAGCAGCAGCAGCACTATTATCATCATCATCTGTAGCAGCACTATCATCATCAGCAGTAGCAGCAGCACGATCATCATCATCATCTGCAGTGGCACGATCATCATCATCATCTGCAGCGGCAGCACTATCATCATCATCTGCAGCAGCAGCATTATCATCATCATCTGTAGCAGCACTATCATCATCATCTGTAGCAGCACTATCATCATCATCTGTAGCAGCACTATCATCATCATCTGTAGCAGCACTATCATCATCATCTGCAGCAGCAGCAGCATTATCATCATCATCTGTAGCAGCACTATCATCATCATCTGTAGCAGCACTATCATCATCATCTGTAGCAGCAGCAGCAGCATTATCATCATCATCTGCAGCAGCACTATCATCATCAACAGCAGCAGCACTATCATCATCATCATCTGTAGCAGCACTATCATCATCATCTGTAGCAGCACTATCATCATCATCTGTAGCAGCACTATCATCATCATCTGTAGCAGCAGCTGCATCATCATCTGCAGCAGCAACTGCATCATCATCATCTGTAGCAGCAGCACTATCATCATCATCTGCAGCAGCAGCATCAGCATCATCATCTGTAGCAGCAGCACTATCATCATCATCTGCAGCAGCAGCATCAGCATCATCATCTGTAGCAGCAGCATCATCATCATCTGTAGCAGCAGCACTATCATCATCATCTGCAGCAGCAGCATCAGCATCATCATCTGTAGCAGCAGCACTATCATCATCATCTGCAGCAGCAGCATCAGCATCATCATCTGTAGCAGCAGCACTATCATCATCATCTGTAGCAGCAGCATCAGCATCATCATCTGTAGCAGCAGCACTATCATCATCATCTGCAGCAGCAGCATCAGCATCATCTGCAGCAGCAGACTCAACACTACCCATAGACTCAACACTGCCCATAGACTCAACACTGCCCATAGACTCAACACTGCCCATAGACTCAACACTGCCCATAGACTCAACACTGCCCATAGACTCAACACTGCCCATAGACTCAACACTGCCCATAGACTCAACACTACCCATAGACTCAACACTGCCCATAGACTCAACACTGCCCATAGACTCAACACTGCCCATAGACTCAACACTACCCATAGACTCAACACTGCCCATAGACTCAACACTGCCCATAGACTCAACACTGCCCATAGACTCAACACTGCCCATAGACTCAACACTGCCCATAGACTCAACACTGCCCATAGACTCAACACTGCCCATAGACTCAACACTACCCATAGACTCAACACTGCCCATAGACTCAACACTGCCCATAGACTCAACACTGCCCATAGACTCAACACTGCCCATAGACTCAACACTGCCCATAGACTCAACACTGCCCATAGACTCAACACTGCCCATAGACTCAACACTGCCCATAGACTCAACACTGCCCATAGACTCAACACTACCCATAGACTCAACACTGCCCATAGACTCAACACTGCCCATAGACTCAACACTGCCCATAGACTCAACACTGCCCATAGACTCAACACTGCCCATAGACTCAACACTACCCATAGACTCAACACTACCCATAGACTCAACACTGCCCATAGACTCAACACTGCCCATAGACTCAACACTGCCCATAGACTCAACACTGCCCATAGACTCAACACTGCCCATAGACTCAACACTACCCATAGACTCAACACTACCCATAGACTCAACACTGCCCATAGACTCAACACTACCCATAGACTCAACACTGCCCATAGACTCAACACTGCCCATAGACTCAACACTGCCCATAGACTCAACACTACCCATAGACTCAACACTACCCATAGACTAACACTGCCCATAGACTCAACACTGCCCATAGACTCAACACTGCCCATAGACTCAACACTGCCCATAGACTCAACACTGCCCATAGACTCAACACTGCCCATAGACTCAACACTGCCCATAGACTCAACACTGCCCATAGACTCAACACTGCAACTCCGATTAGCACGGTTGACTACGTACGGTGCGAAAGAAAGTCCCAACGTACGTAGCTCAAGTTGCTTGACGTATTTTTAAAGCGGTAACAAAAGCCGAGCGTGGTTTAGAGGGCAAGGGGGCAGTCGACGGGGGGGGGGGGGGGGGGTCACACGCGGGGGTGAGGTGAGGGGGGGGTCACGAAAGGCAGCAGGGGAGGGACGGGAGGGAGTGGAGGGGCGAAGGGAGGGAAGGGGGAAGGGAGTGGGCGATGTAGAGGAGGGTGAGGCTTCGAGAGGGGGAACGAACGGTGATTTCACGAGAAGCGGCAGCAGGAGCACCATCGCCGCCGTTATTGTTAGCGCCTTCGATTAGCGCCGGTTGGCAACGCACGGTGCGAAAGAGGCCCAACATGCGTACGGCAGTAGCAGCGTTATCATCATCTTTAGCAGCATAATTATCATCATCATCATCAGTAGCACTATCGCCGTCGTTATCATTGGGTCCTCCGATTAGCGTGTTTGGCAACGCACGGTGCGAAAGAAGTTCAACATGCATATGGCAGTAGTAGCAGCAGCCTCATCATCATCTTTAGCAGCATAATTATCATCATCATCAGTAGCACCATAGCCGCCGTTATCATTAGGGCCTTCGATTAGCGTGGTTGGCTCAACATGCATATGGAAGTAGTAGCAGCATCATCATCATCATCATCTTTAGTAGCATAATTATCATCATCTTTTGCAGCATTATTATCATCATCATCAGTAGCACCATCGCCGTCGTTATCATTAGGGCCTTCGATTAGCGCGCTTGGCAACATACGGTGCGTAAGAATCCCAACATGCGTACGGCAGTAGCAGCGTCATCGTCATCAACAGCGGCAACAGGATAATTGTCATCATCATCATCTTTAGCAACTCTTAATAGGTGCAGTGTCATCATCGAGTCCACATGGGGTGATCGGGCAATGGCTTCCGTGGTACCTGGGACTGTGAAACTCCCTCTGGAAGTCCGCTTCGGTCGGGACCTGCAGGTCACCGTGTGTCATATCACTCCTTACCCTCTCCTCCCCGCCGCCACCCATTGTTGTCTGCGTCAAACCCTTTCCCGTTCCGATGACGTACGTGTACGTACGTGTACGTATGTGTATGTGTACGTCTATGGGTAGTGTTAGTGGTGACGTACGTGTTAGTCTATGGGTAGTGTTATTGATGGCGTACGTGTTAGTCTATGGGTAGTGTTAGTCTATGGGTAGTGTTAGTGGTGACGTACGTGTTAGTCTATGGGTAGTGTTAGTCTATGGGTAGTGATGACGTACACGTGTTAGTCTATGGGTGGTGTTAGTGATGACGTCACGTGTTAGTCTATGGGTGGTGTCAGTGATGATGTAGGTGTTAGTCTATGGGTAGTGATGACGTCACGTGTTAGTCTATGGGTTGTGTTATTGATGACGTACGTGTTAGTCTATGGTGTTAGTCTATGGGTGGTGTCAGTGATGACGTCACGTGTTAGTCTATGGGTAGTGATGACGTCACGTGTTAGTCTATGATGACGTCACGTGTTAGTCTATGGGTGGTGTTAATGATGACGTCACGTATTAGTCTGTGGGGGGTGTCGGTAGTAGTAGTCTCGCAGAAGTAGTAATAGTAGCAGTAGCGGCAGCAGCAGAAGTTGTCGCAGCAGCAGCCGCAGCAGCAGCAGCCGCAGCAGCAGGAGCAGCAGCAGCAGCAGTAGCAGCAGCAGCAGGAGCAGCAGCAGCAGTAGCAGCAGTAGCAGCCACAGCAGCTGCAGCAGCAGTAGTAGCAGCCACAGCAGCAGTAGCAGCAGCAGTAGCAGTAGTAGCAGCCACAGCAGCTGCAGTAGCAGCAGTAGCAGTAGTAGCAGCCACAGCAGCTGCAGCAGCACCAGTAGCAACCACAGCAGTAGCAGCAGCAGTAGTAGCAACCACAGCA